CCTATTGCATGAAAAAAAAGTTCATCATCCTTCTCCCATTCAACAATTTATCATAAGAGTTAGCTTTTGTACAACCGTAATGATTCGATTTAGCGCCACGGGCGCTTCTTTACTTTTAGTAGTTGAAGGGAGGGCGCTTATTCGAAACAGGGCGCTCTCCTCAAGGGGATAGGGTGCTTATCTCTTTTTTGAAAATCAGCAGAATGTAAAACAAAGCTTTGATGTTTATTGGACTGAGCATCAAAAAGACTGGAAAACTCACTTATTGTCCGTGGGCCCTTCCTTGCTAAAACGACCTGCCGAGCAATTGTTGCAAAATTTTAAGATAGGATCTTTCGTTTAAGAAACTGAGCACTAACAGCGACATAATAGTAGAGAGACTGAGACGAAGACTACTTTGTTGTCGTGAGGCTTCATGTGAGCAATTAAAGGAAGATGGACCACGGTTGATCTCAGTGTTCAAGCACTCTAGCAGTGCTATTACTGAAACAGAATAGGGGCGCTTATTGGAATAAGGGTGCTTACTCAATACGGGCGCTTATTAGAACAGGGGCACTTATTGGCAAACAGATTCGAAGGGGGCTCTCTTAGAGAGGGGGTGCTTATTGGAAAGAGGGCGCTAAATCGAATCATTATGGTACCTTACATTCCAATTAGGAGAAGTACACCAACATTTCCCGGATTTCTTTCTCCTTCAGGCCACAAATGTGTGGCAAGAACTTCTCTCATGCCAAAACCTTGTAGTGAAGATCAAAGTCACGCAGTTACCAGCTGTCTGGCGCGTCACGCCATTCAAGGAGTCATATCGTCTTCCTTTTAAGGGCTTGTTTGCATGAAGGTGGGGTACTCCGGGTAGGCCTAGCCGTGTGCTCGAAAAATAGCTTGCGTTTACGAACAATTTTTACAACCCCAGGATACCGGGGTGAGGTTGTTGGCGCGCTTGTAAATGTAACATGAACGCGACCCTGGCTAGGCGGGTTACCCTCCTTGAGACGTTTGCATGGCACATAGCGACCTTGGCTGATAGGGTTACCCTACCCGACAGACCGAGCCACCAGCCAGGGTAGGCTACTACATCTATGATGCAAACGTGATCAAGATATAATAAGAGATTTCATCAAAGATGGAGCTAAAAGAGGGAAAAACTAGCCATATCATTTTGTCCTGTGGCGACAGATGTCATTTTAAATTGTGTTAAAAACTCCATGTAATCAGGCAAAAATTTCGGTCTTTGTACCATCATCCAGATATTTGAGCAGAAAAAAATAGTGTGATATCAGGGACAGAGGCAAACCTATTGAGGGAGGCTCGCGATTCTCATCCCCAGATTCTAGCATCTCCGCTAAGAACGCCTGGGACCATGGTGCAGATTTGGCGACCAAAAGAGAGAAAAGACGGCTTGCATTTTTCGACTCGAGCGTTCCTGTAGAGCTCGATTAAAAAATTGAGCATTTTTGAGTTTGTTTTTCTTAAGTTAAGGTAGAGTAATGCGATATTTTGGTGCTTTTGAAAGTTGTGCTCTTTTTCTTTACAAATTGAAAGTTGTGCTCTTTTTCTTTACAAATTGAAAGTTGTGCTCTTTTTCTTTACAAATTGAAAGTTGTGCTCTTTTTCTTTACAAATTGAAAGTTGTGCTCTTTTTCTTTACAAATTGAAAGTTGTGCTCTTTTTCTTTACAAATTGAAAGTTGTGCTCTTTTTCTTTACAAATGGAAAACATCAGTTACACAAATTGTCCGATACACACCCACACACACACGCGCACACACGCACGCACACACAGAACCGCCCTTCCCCCCCTCCCCCTCTCCCTTGAAGGTATGGTTCCGCAACTGAGAGCTTCACTCTAAGAAAAGTAAACGCTGTCGTTAACCCTTTACACCATAACATCAGTATTCATATTCTCCATACTGTTCTCTGTACATTTACTAAGGTGCTGACAAGGAGAATTTATTTATATGTCCACGAGACTCTGTGTAGTCGTGATTAGCGGTTACGAAATTACTTCCAACTCATTTCACCGCTTCATGGCCCAGTAATAATCATGCTCTGCAATCACTCGGAGCGATCGTTCAAGATATTTTTGAGGATTTCGAAGAAATTATGGTTGCTAGAATTGATCCTAGAATTGAGAATTGGTCAGGTTCGAGGCAGTTTGATTGTAACTCCTTAGTCATAATTGTCATTGGCAGATCTGGGCATAAAACAGCCACAATGTAACTATGGGTCGCATCATCAAGTGAACAGGGAGCAAGTCTTTCTCAGTCTGTAACGTTGACTTTGAAAGGAAGCCGCCGTTTTTGAAGGGAACAAAGGCAAGCGCAAAATTATAAAAACATTACACCTGATCTGCAGGCAAGAGTCCTAAGGAGAGTATGCAGGTCATAGAGCGACACTTTCAAAATGGTCGGAATCTGTTGTGATATTAACTCACCAAACCTACCTTTTTTCCATTTACGCCAACAAATTTTAACTTTAAAGATGATTTTTTATAATTTAACGAGGACCTGTTCCGCTTATGGAGGTTTCCTTTCAAGGAAGAAGGAGGAAGTGATAGCTTAAGATAGAACTATCATGAACGAAGTTAATACGTAGCAACGATGCCTTTAAATTTTACAGACGGCAAACAATATCTTTAAGAGGCGAACCACACCTTCGGAATGTGACACTAATCAGAAACAAATAATAATCAAGAGCATCGCTATTTCGGTGAACATTCTGACCACGGTGCCTCCGCCATACGTACTTTGTTCTATTGTTGGGCCACTATCAATCAACATAGCCAGAGAAAATTATTGTTAACCAAAGTGCAACGACAGAAGGAGTGCATAAGAACTGATGACGGTCGCATACAGTCATCCGCCTTCTGTCGTCGCCGTGACAACATTTTAAGCGCTTTTGCATGCACCATATTAGAAAGGTTAAGCTTGATGTCTACAGTAACGGCTGACGGCAAAAAAAAAAAAGATTAAACTTCTCCTACGACCGTTTAAATGAAATATATTTGCATGATTAAGCTGGAATAAGGGATTCCCAGAAATTTCTTGCCAAGGTTGATTTGTGGATTAGAGGAAAAGGGAGAAGAATTTGAGTACTTTTGTGCAATCACCATTGTCTTCGAATTCTTCGCTGAGAGCCATGTCATGCCCTAACAAGAATGGCCTCAAGACTATTCTTGGATTACGGATAAGATATGTGAGGAAAATTTTAAGAAGATCTCTGGATGAAATCATTTTTTAAGCCTGAGTATTGCCAAAATGTTCTCAAGTCTCGAGGCGTTTCAATCAACTGAGTTCTCTTTGAACTTCATTAGTGTCGACAGTTCCGAAGTTGGTCAGAGCTAATCATTTCTACACAAGTACATCACCAAGCGGCGGATCAAATACAACGACAGTAACCACTTTGATAAGCTCTGCAAGGGCAAGCCAAACATCGCTTAAATTACACAGCTGTCTAACATATAATACTCAAATCGTGCGCGCTTTCATACCTGATGTACTGCGTTTTATGTCTTCTATGGTCTGTAACTGAACAGAAACACGGCGTCGTGTAATCTCTCTGTTAACTATGGTTAAATTTTGAACTGGTCCAGGCGCACTAGTGACCATCGTCTGTCGAAGAAACAATAGCTACAGGGCACAGTAATGTTTCTTTAGGGATTATGTAACGCTTATCTCAGTCTGTGCCTCCGAAGTCACGCGCTATTCAAATCTAAATATAAATGCAGAACGAAAAGAGATTGTGAACCAACTCTTGGAGATACACATGGCCCGTTTTTCCTCTCGCTTTAATCGTTTTTCCGTTCTTGGTTTCTGCTCGTGCTTAATATATTGTTCGCTATTTAGTCTAGATGCACATCTGCTGATGTTCAATAGGGGCCCAAAGAAATTCTTTATATTTTTAATCTTGCTTGGATGGATTTAGCGAAGGCAATACTTCTTGTCACGCAACACATTTTCTCAGGTAGTTACGGTCACACAAATCATCGGAGTGTCTGAAGTTTATATTTCACAATATTCTGCGAGCATACGGTGGATATGAGGTGAGAGATAGCCAACGAGGATCATAAGGCAGAGTTGGCTATAATCATCTCATATATATCTAATTGCCCACCCTAATTCATAAGAGCTTTTTGTCTGATAGAACCACTTCCGTTTTTATTCGTCTTGCACTCTGGGAATAGCATTTCAAAAATAAAATAATGAAATTTCAAAACGCTCTTGGTTCCAATAGAGAACACGAGAGGACAAGTTAAAGAATAAGATAGAAGGACAACGGAGAAAGTTATTAATTAATCATTAACCATTAATCTTTATTCCATTTTCAATTGGAATAAAGATTAATGGGAAGGAATAGGATGTTCAACCAATATTTACTTACTTAATTTAAAATTATTTCACAAAAATAATATTTATCCTAGAAGATGACCATTCTTAGTTGTTGAAACCATCAGTTCTTTAACTGCACTTCCTTGATTTAACCCTTTACAGTCTAACATTACTATATAAATACTCCAAACTGTTTTCTACACAATTCGCATGGTAATGACAAAGAGAATTATTTTAAAAATCAAAAGCTACTTAAGTTAGCGACCATTAGATTTATTCTCATGACATTTAAGAAAGATTCAGTGGTTATGTAAGGAAAACTTAGATGCTATTAACTCTTTGGGGTTTAAGGGTCAATATTACTCCCGAGTGCCTTTGAAGCCTGAGGTGTCAAAATTTTGCAACGCGATATTCATTTTTAGAAACAGATAGAAAATTTTCTAAATAATGGTGCTATAAAAATAATACTGGAAAATTAAACCTAAATTTAACGCCGTCTTCGGCAATATATTCATCTTACACAAATTTTGAGGAAAAAACAATTTTGACACAAAAGTGCAGCAATCACTGACACAACCATTCAATATTAAGCAAGCAGGTGTAGTGTAACCGAACAAAAAACAAGAAAAGAGCAGTTAACCTTTGAAGCAGTAATTCTGCCTGAGTACTAACTGCCTTCTTTTAACTGTTTTGCAGCAAAAGACCCGCCCGAGATGTCACCATTTAAAAACTCTCGTTATTAGTATCTATAAACATATCTTCAGTGTGATCAGTGTGATCCTACAACCTCTGCGTCATTGGAAGTCATTATTGGAGTCAAGTAAAGAGTTGTTGTCAGATTGTAGTGAATAATTGTTGTTCGACTGACAATGACTATTCCCTTGACTCTGGTGATCACTTCCGCTCAGGTTGTCGAAATGTCAGTCATCACTACCGACAACAGTCCTCCTCAGGACTACACCCACACGGACGATCAGACTTCACTATCACATGTTACCACCGGCTTCAAACCATTAACTATACATCTTCATTGTCTTTGATTAGCTGTTTCGCTTTCCATTTAAATATTTACGTGTAAATAACAACCAGACAAACGGTTCGGTTAGCTTTTCACAATTAGAGTACCAGATACTTGGGGATAACCTTTAAGATCTCGACCTAACTCGAGCAAATTTTTACAGAATTTGTTCTGTTGTTCTCTTTAATACACCTTTCTCAAGCCACTTTGGGGGATGATTGAAATCACGTTTCATAAGCCAAGGAAACTGAAATAAACATGATTTATTCCTACTGGAGAACACATTCATTCTTGTCCTTTGAAAGCCTGGCACTAGCAATCACTTTTTGCACATGGAGTGCATCCTGCTCAGCCCTGCGAAGAATTGCAACGAAGAAACGCACTGAATTATAATCAATTCAAAACGTTTATCATCGTTATAGGGTGCACAAGGCAGTTGCGTATAGTCTCCCCAGCTATACAGCCTGCCGTTCTTGTAATAGGAAGCATTCAGCTACATGTATGCTACACACAAATCTGCGCGGTAGTCTCCCGAGTTTAAGTGTAAAACTTTCGCAACAAACTCTCCTTCAACAGGGCATGAAGTATCTCTTGCATACCACAGTTTGCATACCTGCTGAAATTTAGCTGCACGCTGTTGTACTTCGTTCGGAAAAATGCATTTTGTGTACTTGTTGGTTTAAAGTAACTTCAACATGCGAGCTAGGCGCTCCTCAGAGATAGTCTGTTTGAGTTTGCGACATAGCGTTTCAATAGGTGAAGGATTTGAGGCTTTCCATCTTTTTTTTAATTACTGCCAAGTTAGTTGAATCATATGGTTGCTGTGGACTCGTAGACCTAAGAACACATCACAATGACTCGGCTAGAACTCGAACCCAGACTTCTCAGTAACTGAAAGCCCAGTCCGCAAGCGTTAGGTAGGTGACTTAACTTTATACAAATCCCAACTTAATACTCACTGATAAAGCTGCGAGTCTTCAAACTGCACCAACTGATCCCTCTTGTTGACAACTGACACCAGCTGATCAATTAATTTTGCTTCACGATCTTTTTGCTCCTCGGTCTTTTGCCAATCTAAGAAGCAAACAGTTCAATCCGTGTAACTTTACAATGCAAAACAAGTTCACAGGCTGCATATGTCTTCCAAAAATTATTCTTGCAGTTACCTTCCAATTCCAAAATGGCTCGCAGTTCTCGTTGTAGCATGTCCTTACTCCTTTCCAGGTCCTCTTCGTTCTTCCTATTGTTAGGGAGACATAACAAAACAACTTCATATAACCTCACTCATTCTAAAAAGCTTCAAATGATTGGGACCGTACTGGTGTTGTTTTATTACGTAAAACTTTCACATCACTCTCAACCAACGAGTGATAAGTAAATTCAATCACCCCTGGGTCTTGCGCGGTTTCCCGCGCTTTAGGCTGGTTACATGCGTTAGCGTTGAGTTCTAATAGGCTCCTGATGATTTTTTCCTTTTTTCTGATTGGCTGCTCGTATCATTCTGATATTAGTTTTCGATACTTTGTCGTCATGCGCCCTGTCTCGAGCCAACGGTCACCAATAACGCACGAAAAAGCTTCACCACTTGGCGCTTAAAACAACGACACAAAAAACTGAAAGCCGAAAGACAGCGAATATCAAGTATGAAGCAAACTATGGGAATATGTGTCTGGAAGGCGTAATTTGTCCCTCCGGCGACTCGCATTCGTCGCTTTAAGGCTTTGAACGGTCCTTGCGAAAATTGTAGAGTTTAACCAGAGTGCACATTGGGCATGTTTATAACTTGAAGTTAAATAAATAAAATGTAATGTACTTACAGTAAATTCAGTTCACCTTGTCTTCTGACCAGCTCGTTTTTCTTGTTAACCAGTAAGAACCATTCCTGCATAAGTTTTTCTCGTTCATCTTCACAACCTGTATAATATATTCCAGAGAACATGCCTGACTAACGCTATGCTAGCTCTTGTTCCGTTCCCCTGGCTCATAAGAATCCCTGTATTTTCAATCATCTTTTGACTGGAGCCCTCTTTCACTTTGTTTCATTTAACTGGCACTGAGCAAACAGGTTTGATTACGTTCTGATTGCCTTACCAAACTGGAGGCTTACAAGAGAGGGGTGGGTGGGGACTTATTTTAAACTTGACGAACTATACGGGGTGCTTATCACAGTGTTAACGGTAAGCTTAAGTCTTCGTTTCACTGATTTACAGAAACTCTTCTTCGTGCTAATTGAGTAACAGATAGAGAGGTAAACACAACGCATACAACGCTTTATATTACCTTTAGTCTGCATCGCCCGACGAAGCTCAATTTCCAGTTTTTCTCCAACTTTGTCCAAAGCTTTTTGTTGTTCTTCGAGCATTTCCAGTTCTTCGCGGACGTAGTCAGACGCGTCTTGAAGATCCTACAATATCAGTTAAGAGTGCCTGGTTTAACTCTGATCGCCTTATTGTTACTCACATCATGACAAAGCTCTTTTTTAAATACAGTGTATGCTGCGCGAAAAAATTTGCACTGACACTTTCTTTTGTTTCCTACCAAAATCATACTCAAAAAGAGGGAAAAAAAAAAACAATCCCCATTTGAAATAAGACCAAAATTTGCTGTCTATTTTATAAGCCAGCAAGCCGGAAAGAGTAGATCTACTTACCAGATCTGGAAAGTTAGACTCTAAAGGTTAATTTCGATTTTGCAGACATAATAAATTTTAACAGACTGAAAACGACGAAAACACACCTGTGAGGGTTCCCCTGATTCGCGTCCTTCATCATCTATTATGGCAACTCCATCCTAAAGAAGAAAAACAACTAAAAGTTATGTATGTCCGTAACGAAAAAAAGGCAGTAATGAAAGACACATCCTTAAATAATGATAACAATTGGGTCCAGCAAACAGTTCAGCAAATTCCAACAAAAAACCCAAAGAAAGAATTCTGTGAATTGGAATATGGAACACTTTTCGATTATGGTGTCGTTCAACCAACACCAAAGTAATCACATCAGCCAATCAGAACAAAGGGAAATATCACAGAGCCAATCAGAGCCCAGAGTAAAATCACACAAATCCCTCGAAGCACGGGAAAACGCGAGCGACCATGCTGCAATTTTTTTAAGTTTTGAATTCGATTAGTTTCGAAAGCGGCGTGGGTTTCCTGAACCAACGAATCACTGAGCGAAAAAAGTAAAACCAAAGTAATTCTGGATAACTTTCAACTCTAAATGAAAAATTTCTCTATTGTATGGCTCTGAGTTACCTTGGACGAATCGTCTTTTGTATCATTATCTTGAACACCTTGGAAAGAAAGAAAAATAAATCTATCTTACCCGAGTGGGTTCTACGAGAGTTAAAGATATTCCGCCAGTACAATGTTAATCGTACCTCGATGGTAAGGAAAAGAGAAAGCAAAAGAAAAATGCACAGTTCAAGCTCCGTCATCGAGAAACGAATTAACCCTTTAACCTCGATCTAAAAGGGTTTGAAATCTAATTTCTCTTTCCATTATCATCCCTGAAACAAAATAAGGTCGTGAGAAAAACGAAAATAATCCACAATTTAAGCACCTGATTGTAAAACAAATTCTCCTTGTCAGTACCATGGGTAATGTAAAGAGAAAAGGGTGGAGAAAATGAATATTTATATTCGGGTGTAAGGGTTAATAACCATGGACGAACAACAAAGGAAAAACTTTCATATCTGCTACCATCCCTTATTACTTTAGACACAAAAAAATAACAAGAATTACACTTTTCTACAACGAGTGAAGCTATTCTGCTAATATCAGGGGGTTCATTCTCTCATTCTGGGGTTCATTCTCTTACCTTGTTGTGTCCCTATATTTTCTTGCTTGTCACCTTGCTGTGCTTGATCCGATGGCACCTCAAAAGCCTCAAAGTTCATTTTTCTACTCTTAACATAAGCATGCAGACCTGCGTTGGCTCCACGTGCTTTGGGGCGCGGAGGCGGCGTAGGATCAGGAATATTTTTCACCCCATTCACCGCACTATGTTTGGATGATTTACCGTGTGAAATTTTTCTTGATCCTTCCTGCGAAGGCTTGGGACTTTGTGCACGCAAAGAGTTTTTGTCTTGACCAGAATTATCAGAATTACTAGATTTTCTGTCCTTCTTTCCTTGATTCAAAACTTGTCTAATTCGCTGCAGTTCGTCGCTTTCTTTAAATTCATTCTTGGGAGGCGGTGATAATTTTCGTCTGTTCTCATCATTTTCTTTATCCTTCAGTTTCAGCGGACGGTGTTGTAAGTTCTTGTTCCCAGCCGTCTTCTGATCGCCACTAGTGCTGTCAGTATTAGTTCCCCCAGTGCTACTTTCCTGATTTGTTTGTTCACTTATCGTTTGTTGCGGTGAAGAAGGCTGTTTTTGTGCCCTCTCTTTATCAACGGCATTTTGGACCATTTTTTGTGCTTTCTCTGTGGCCTTTTTTCGTCTTAAAAGCTCCTCCTGCAATCAAGCGAAATACTATGGCTTTATACACAGTCTGTTATAAACCATTAAAAATTTTCCTTTTATAACTCTCGAATGAAGGGTAAATAACGAAATAGAGAAAAGAAATCAAGGAAGAGTCAGAGCTCTAGAGGAGTTAAACTTCCAAGCGTTTACAATTTCATCAAGGAGTGACCTCCGGTGAAGTTAATCATTTTTTTTAAAGTTTTCTTTTGACTTCAGCTCACGAATCAATAGATCGACAAACCTTTCTTTGTCTCAGATTCTCCTTTTTTCTCAAAGCCTCCTCGTCATCAACCTTGCAATGACAGATAAGAATTAGTTTTTACTCTTAACTTTCTCCTTGAAAAAAAAAATTAATACAATGTATAGCAAACAGGTGTTGAGAATGATCTAACATCAGCTGGAGGGTTTAACCTTAGAACATTAAATTACCAGGGCTAACTTAAAAGGAAATAAATTAAAGCTTGACAAGAGAGAGAAAAAGTAGCTATTTGGTTTTTCACTTGATACAAAGTAAACAACAAAAACAGCAAAGAATTATGCCAATTAACCACTGGTAACGTGGCAAACATATTGAACCAAGCCCGACACCAAGCTATCACCAAAAACAGCCATTCATAAGCCATCTTGTTACCATTTCCTTCCCTTGTGGACCACCTTCGCGCTCATCTGAATTAGCGGTTGCTTTATCAGCGGTTGCTTTATCAGCGGTTGGTCCTTTAGAAGCTTTGGCGATTTCTGCCACTCGTTCCCTAGGTAACGCACCGCTAGCGCCAGCCTTCTTCCGCGCGTCCATCAGTACTTGGCGCGCAAGAAGTTTTATATCCGCCTGATTAGCTGCGTCGGTGGTGGAATTTTTGGGTGCTGCTTTTGGAGATGCCCCACCACTGCTTTCAGATTTCTCATGTGTGTCTCCTGTGCTAGAAACTGCTGGTCTTTCATTATCACCAGCAGCGTCTCCGTCCGTTTGCTCACTTTTCCATTCGTCAAAAGAAGGGATGAGGGGTGGTCGCCTCGGAGGAGCAGGGGCGGCCCTCTTTGGAGCCCTTTTCGCGGGGGATGCATTAGGAGATGTTTGCTGTTCACCGCTTGTTTCTGTCGGCCGCGACCGACGTTGTCTCTGAAAGAAATGGTTAGATTAATAGTCACTCATTTATCGTGATCTTATCTAAACTCTCACTTAAGGACGTGTACACAAAATATGGCGATTTAACTATGACCTAAGATCTGTTATACCCTAATGAGAAAACTTCTTTCTTTCTTCCTATTTCAGTTTTTCAATTAAAGATTGTTTGAAACCAAGAGTAACAGTTCATGGAGTGGTCCTCAAGCTCATAATACATGGAGTCTACACTTTCCTTTACATTAATAACAACTCAACACTCACAGCGGGAGTAACCTCTGTGGGAAGTCTCGCTGTCCAGGGATCATCAGATGAACGTACTGCCGGTGGGGGTGGGGCACGCCTTTTCTTTGCACTTGTCTCCTGCAATACAGAAATACATTGATCTCATGAGTGATTCTCCTTACTGTCTTGTGATTTTAATTCGGTAATAATCCTCTAATTTATATTTTTCTTTATTCTCATCACTAATCTTCTTGTTATTGAACTGATGTTGTAAGGAGAAATTCTGTCTGGGTCAGTCATGGGAGTTAGAGGGTTGAAACTGAAAGCAATTAATTGATTACAGACCTCTTCACTGATGTTTTGTTAACATCTCCATTAATTCTAAGTAGATGCAAGAGGAAAATAGAAAACTTTCTCCAGTCCTCAACACATGCGACTATTTTACATAATTTAAACAATGCCGTTACTGTAAGCACGGCCCCTCACCTCTCTAACTTTTCCACCCTTAAAAGTGACTAGAAGTTCATTTCTCCTTACATTGTCACCCCTAAATCAAACATTAACGTCACGAGAAGAAAGAAATGATCACCAACAATGATCACCCTTGATTGTAACACAAATTTTCCTTGTGGTATCATAAGAAATGTGTAGAGAACAGTAAGAAGAATATGCATGAAGATGTTAGGCTGTGTAGGGTTAACGTCCTTACCGCCGGTTTAAGCGCAGCAGACGGAGAACTCGTCCCAGACTGGGCAACTCTGTTCACGTTGGTTTTCCTTTCCGTGCTAGACTTTCTTGTTGAATTACCTTGCACGGCAGTCTTGTTATCATTCAAACTTTCATCATCATCATCATCATCATCATCATCTTCAAAAGGATTATAACTCTTTGTTGTCGAGTTTAACACAGTATCCTTAGTCTCTTTCTTTTCTTTGGGTTTAGTTCTTTGTGAGCTTTCATCAGTAGCATTCGACTTATCGTCAGCGCCTTCTTCGAACGGATTATAATGATGGGGATAAGACAATTGTCTTTTAATTACACCGGATGTTTTCTTCTTGGCGTTTTTATTAGTTTCTGTTGCGTCTTCTTCATTGTCATCATCGTCAAATGGATTATAACCTGGCTTGTTGTCCTTCTCTGCCGAGCTATCAGCTGCAACATCATCGTCGTCATCGTCAAAAGGGTTGTAACCTTTGCTGGGCTTCGTGGATTTTGTACTTGGATCGGTTTTGTTATTTTCCTTTACATCTTCGTTATCGTCCTCATCGAAAGGATTATACGGCTTTGATTCAGTATTTTCCTTCTTATTTACATTATCGTCAGTCTTCAAACTCGTATCGTCTTTGGTATCAGTCTGATAAATTCTTGGGGGTTTAGGAGGTGGTGGTTTCACATCACTTGTTACAAGAATATCTTTCTTCTTGTCTTCATTTTCCTCCGCGGAATTTTTCCTATCTACGCTTGCATCCGAAGAAGCCGTCCCAATGTTTTGCTTGCTAATTGTTTCGCTCCCGTTAACTTTACTTGAACTGCTGGCAGAAGGATTCGTCGACAAATCGGACGTGGCAGGTTCATCGTCCCCCTCCTGATCGTCCGAAAAAGGGTTGCTCCCTTCCTTGCTGTCCTTGGAGGCGGCCACCGTGCTGTCTCCACCGCTATCATTGTCTTCTACAGCAGCATCATCCTGTTCTGTGGGTTCCTCTGTGGAGGTAACCGTCATTTGTGGTGGGACGGGTAATCTTCGCGGTCTGGGCGACGTCTCCAGACTGAGTGGGCTCGGAGGGAGCGGTTGTCGCGTCCGACCGAAGTGATTCTTGATTTGATAAACATATGTCATCACACATAGCTTGTCCGGAACGGTTGTGAACATCATCTGGGTGGGGTCCAGAAGACGTGGAATACCCAGCTTCTCAAAAGCAGTAAAAGCCTAAATGATTGGAAAAAAAATATGAGATGAATTAATTGTGCAAAGATTAGTGAAGCTGAACGATCAGCCGATAAAAAAAGTCAAGAGAGATCATTATAAAATTTATAAAGTTAAAAAATCAGTTCCAAAAATCGGGGTTGAAATGTTCATTCTAACATGTTATTTCGTAAAGACGTGTAAATGGCTTTAACGGCCGATCCTGCAGTTTGATCGTTTAAAAGAGAGAACTCCTGAAGAGTAATCTCATGATTACTTCTGCTCAAGTTGGCAAAATATTCATAACTACTACCGATAACAGTCCTTTTTACGACAACCCTCATCCTTCGGTTCAAACTGCACGATCAGTCCGATAATTCTATTGTGTTTTAACTCAGATAACCGCTCACCTTAACAACACCAGGTTACAACTGGCGAAACGTACAAAATAGCATGCTACTAATATGGTGAAATATCAAAAACAAGTCCTTACCAACTTGTTGTTTTCTTTAATGTTCGTTGCATCAAGTGAGGAAAAGTCACTACAGAAAAGCAATAAAAAAACAGCAGATGTATCACAAATACTCCAAGCAAAAGAGAACCACTGTGTACTCTGAAGTAACATGTATTAAGAAGCACATTCAGGTACGAAGATGCACGATAATCACCACTCACATTTTATCCGGATGGAAGCTGTGTAGAATTGCACAAAATGCAAGTCCGTCTCTCCAACTGGTTGTCATATCCTTAACTTTCACTCCACGGTAGCCTTTAGTACATGTTCGTGCCCATTCTACAAGACAAATAACTACATTTTCATCACAGTTAATATACATTACGCAAATAATAAAGCTTTCAGTGAATGCCACAATGACCCACCAGCCGGACTTCCCATCAGGAGTGGTTCATCGGTAAAGTACTCTTATTGGAGAAGAAAGAGAACGGGACTAAAGTTTGGAAGGAGGGGGAGGTTAAGGGAGGGGAGGGAGGGGGGGGGGGGTCAAGGAAAGAAGGGTCAGTTGAAGGGGTGAAGGGAAGGGGGATCATGGGTGAGGGGGTCGAGTAAAGGGGGGTGAGGGCGGGAAGGGAAATTAAGGGAGGGGGAGGTCAAGGGTTGTTTACACGGGCATTGCCTTATGCTCGTGTCAAGTTTGCTTTCCTACTTTGCTTGCTTTGTTTTCCTCTCTTCCCCCCACACATCATTCCACACATTGGTTTATCAATGTTGTGTTGACAAGTGCCTAGAGGCGGGTTGCGGCTTAGTTGCGGCTTAGTTAGACCTCCTTATGTATTGTTGAGCCAGGAAGGGAGTTAAAAGTTGTTGAAGTGATTAGGGGACAATGCACCACTTACTTATCAGCTCAGATTCCATCTTACTCTTGTCCTTAGTATCCTGAAATAAATGTACATACAATACTGATCAGATATGCGTTGAGTACACACACAAATTGTATAAGCACATATGCACACAGAGTTGCGCATACATATACATATACACGTGCATTTATACGCATATACATGCGCATGTGATGTGTCTTTCATATTTGATGCCTAAAGAATCCTTTGTGTTACATTGCTGTGTAAAAGAAAGAACTTTTGTGTCTGAAGAAGTGACAAATCGTGAAAGGAAAACTTACATACTGGAAAAAGCTATCATGCTACACACACACTCACACACGTCTCATCAAATTAATTAGCAAAGACGTGCATAATGTACGTAATAAAAGACTGGAAGGTACAAAAAAATATGCATATGTAAACATGTAATACTCAAATAACGCACTTTGATAATCTGTCACCATGGGACATGCACACTTGTTGTTTACAGCATGGACTGGGCTCAGTCTTGAATACTTCTGTACAAGATGATAAGGGGATTCAACATTACCTGGCCACCATCAGAAGTGTCTGCAGATGCATCTGAGTCAGTGCTTGACCTTAAATCAAACATTTGATTTTTAGTTTAGGGCAAAAAAAGGTGTTCTAAAGAGCATACATGTATTATACTACTATGCATGTAGAAGAGGAGTACCTTGACTTCATCATACTTTTCCTCTCACCTTTTCATGCCTTCTGCTTTCAGAAGGTCATTAACTAGAGTCTTAGGGTTTTCTCCCAAAGATGATTTGGATCTTATTCTGCCACGTTTCTTGCCAAGGACTGGAGATGCTGTTGGTGATCTGCTTCTGGCAAATTCTGTCTCTTGCAGGCTGGTTACAGCTTTGGAAGAGAATTCATTGTTTGTGAGAAACAAACAAATTGGTATTGTTTTTTTTCCTCCAAATGTTGTTTTTATTCTAATATGGCAATAGATTGACTTCCAAAGAATCTTGTTTTTGATGAACAGGATGATTAGGTATGTTAATCTTAAGTTAAAATATCTGCATTAAACTGTGAATATGAGACTTTGTGCTATTTTTCTGCAGTGCTGATTTAATCCTTTAAACCTTAGAGTGACCAGCATGTACATGCAATTTCTCCTTACAGTAATATAGCTTAATTATTCATTACAGTCATGAGAATACAGCAAATGATTGCCAACCCATGAGGCTTTGATTGTAACATGTGAATGAATTCTCCTCATCAATAGCAAAGGAAATGTAGAGAGAAGAATAGGAGAATATGGATACTGATGCTTGTGTGTAAAGGGTTAAGGTGCATACAAAAACTAAGTTGAATCAGAGTTCATTTTTGCCATTTGCCTTTGCTGTACAATACAATGAAGTTTTTGCTGATTGAATTAAATAAACCCGTCAAATTCTCGTGAATGGTTTCAACAACAAAATGAATTTACAAGAAATTCAAAAGCACCTGCAGGATTATGCTAAAACAACCATTTGCCTCAGGCTCAGCAAATATTGTCAAGTAATCCCCTTGGCTTCATCTTAGGGGTTATTCAACAATATTCACTTTGCAATCAGCGAATAATTGTTAAAGAATCATTCTGTAAATCAACACTTTGTTATTTTAGTAATGGTACCTTGTACTTTCATATTGCCCTGTGAAATGTTTCGTCTATGAAACCTTGGGGATGGTGCCATTTCCATGTCATCATCATTATCATCAAAGTAATAAGAGTCATTCAAGCTCATCATACTACCAATACTGATCATATCATCATCACTATTGCCAAAATAAAAGTTAAAAAAAAAAAGAACAACTTTAGGTAGCAATTACAGCAGAAATCTTACAAACTATTTATAGTTAATAACTCTACTTTCTTTAAAAGGAATTTTGAGTTTTGAAGGAAGGCTCTGAGTCTCACAAAACAGCAGGCAGGTAAAAAAACAGGTAATTTTAGGAACGCCACTTAACAACACCTGTATGTCCAAATTTAGAATTAGGTACAGTTTTAACAATTAATCATCCTTATGCGACCCAAGGAATTACAGTCAACTCCCCAACTGACAAACTCATACACACCAACTTGCACACACCAGCACACATACATGTACATACAGCCTAATAATCAAAATTGTGCATAAAGAAACTACTGTCTTAAAGAATCCTTTGAATCCTCTTCTACTGAACTTACAGTCAAAGAAGGCAGTTATTTGATTATTGCCTCGTGTGCTTGTCCATAATATTTAGAGCACATTGAAATTAGAGCCATAACCAATCTACACAACCATCATCATGTTAAAGTCAGCCTTGTAGCCCACAACCACACACCCCTTTTTCCTCAACAGGAATCATCTACACTTGATACATGTAAATTCTAATCCAATTCATTTCCAGATACATTTTGTTACAATGCTGCTAATATGGTTTTATCAGAATTTATCATCCAAATAGCAATCATCTTTTGGCCTTTGTCTCAATATACTTCTTCCATTAAGTTAAAATCTTTTTCTTGCACACTATTTTTGGTTTACAGTCAAGTTGCTTGAAACCTGAGTCATGTTGCCTGAAATTATAGTTATGTTGCCCAGAAAAAAAAAGTCAAGACACCCAAAGAAACAAATACTGAAAAGATCAGAATTTCAGACTGTAAATAGGTAATAAAGTTGACAAATTTTTATCACTAAAGTGCTCTTTGTTTCTGACTACACCATGAAGATTCTAAAAGCATTGTTTGTTCCTAACAACAAAGGGAAATGTTGTTCATTTCCAACAACAAAATGAAGTCTTTTTCCTTTGGCATGTAATCATTTCTTACTCACTGACATCTTGTAAGCTTGAGAAAATGTTTCATGGTTTGTAACACCACCATGAAGACTTTGACTACAAAGAAATTGATTGTATGGTCGGAATTGAAATATGTTTCAGTAACGATTCTAAAAGTGTTATTCATTTCTAACAATAAAGGGAAGTGTTGTCCGTTTCTAACAAAAAAATGAAGCATTGTTGACTTTATTGCCTATTTATGGTCAGAAATTCTGATATTTTAGTATTTGTTTCTTAAGGAAACTTGACTTTTTTTTTCTGGGCAACATAACTAAAATTTCGGGCAACATGACTCAGGTTTTGGGTGATGTGACTTCGGGTAAGATGACTCTCAGGCGATTTGACCAGTTACCATGTTTTCTAGCACAATCATAACACTCTCAGTCTTTTCATGTTGTTACTTACGTAGCCATCCCCTCCTTGATCAATACACAGGTCAGGTTCAATTCAAGGGAAGCTGACACTAACTTCTTACTGGCAACTTTCAGGGTAAGTGTGACATCAAAGGTGTGGCTTTCCACACTGGCATAATCAACCATGTTGATAGCACCTGTAGCTATGGGCTTTCTTCTTCCATTCTGGGCTTCCTGTGGTGGGAGAAAAAAAACAGATAAAAGAAGACAAACTAAGTAAAAACAAAAGTTTGACTCTTAGGAGTAATAATAAAAGTAATTTAGCATTCTGCCTGGCATCTCCTTAGTTACATTGAGTAAAGCTAAGTTACTGAGGTATGGAATGCAATTATGCTATGAAGCCTGAACACATTACAACCAGCTGAATGTTCTCTAGTTACTGACAATAATTACTATAATATTCAAAACTTACATCTTCAATGACAAAAGTCCACTCCTTGTCCTCAAACTCACTATCTGGTTTGGGGTCCTTGATTTAAGAAAAAGTGGCATGAATAAAAGGTTTACATGTAGTTTTGAGATACATTGGGTTTTTGTATGTTGTCCAATCAATTGTGCATTAAAACAGAAATTCAATTTTTAGCTGTTTCAGAATGACTAGCAAACTACATGTATGTATGGTAATTACACACGTGAGCCCCTCTACTATCAGCAAAAATAATATACAAAATACTTTCTTGGAAAATATGCCCCACACCCATACAGAGGGTTCCTACATCAGCACTGATTCTTCAGCCCCCCTGCACTGGAAATAAGCTCTGTTTTCCATGTAACATATTACATGCATCACAGTACTTTCATGTAACTAATACAGGATAAGTATCAGACCTGGCCCAGCCTAGCCCAAGAGTATACAGTAATACATATTACAAAAACCTCGACTGAACTATCTGATTTTTTATTAGCAGAATAGCATGTACATATCTTTAGCTAAAAACTACCTAACATGTACCTTGTAAAGAGTAACGTTGATTTCAACAGGTTCTGGCTCTGGCCAAACAATGATCCCTCGGAAAGGGTTGCTGATTCCTGGTTGCCATGACATTGGCTGCACAGTTTAAATAATCAAGTAAAGTCAATGTCTTATTATTCAGTTTCATCTTAGATTAATCATTGTCCAACCATAAGAATGGCATCTTAATCAAATTTGTAACAAATTCTTGAATGTGATCAGTTAACAACAATGGGACAAGAATTGTCATGACAATCATTGTGACCCCTTGATAGAGGCGATTGCTGAATACAGGTGAAATAGAAAATACTAAGGGAGAACAAATTTCAAGACTATGACAACTGACCACTTAATACAGGGTGACTGCTTAACCCTAAATAACTCCCTGAAGTGATTAACATGTAACTTCTCCCTATAATATCCATATCGTATTCAGTAAACAGGTGATGAGAACACTCAAACTTATCAGGTGGAAGTTATCTTGATCTCACACCAAATTCTCTTAACTTATTAACATGAAATTTCTAGCTAAAAAGGGAGAATCAAAAATCAGATCTCAGGATTTAAAGGGTTAATACAGTGCCCCTTAATACAGGTTTGGCTTTCAATAGTATCCATCACAAAGACACTAGACTGTATGCAGTTCAATTGTTAGTGAAAGTCCCAATTACAGAGCAAATGCAACATTATTTTCAAAAATTAGAGTATTCAAAGAAAAATTCACCTTGGAAAGTTTTCTTCTTTTTCTTCTTGTCCACACAACAACAAGTTTGTTTGGCTGCCTATAATAATTTTTAAAGAGGTTAGATTGAGAAGACTCATGCTTTATAACATTAAACTAAGATAATTTTAATTTTTAATTACATGTGGCAATAATAATAATCATGATGATTTTCTTAAAAAATTGAAAACTTGCAATCAATATGTTAAGGTTTAATTTTATCATTGATGTGCAAATTCCTGTTCCTTTGTTTCTGGTTATAGTGATGTACAGTTTGTCTCAAGAACAGGAAGAGCACCATCTAAATTAAAACCATGGATGATTCATGTATTTCTCTAAGTGGCTTACAAAATTCCTCAGAGTCCAAAAGGTTAAATATCAGCGGCTTCAAAATCAAAATAAATAAGCAGAATCTTGTATATATGAACATTAACCTTCCACCTTGAAGATCAAACTATTTATAGCTATTTTTTGGTCAGGATTTCCAAAGTTCATAATAATTAACATTAAATAACGAAATCCATTTTCAGATATTCATTAGTGTCTACAATTTGCACTCCATTGACAAATGAGTGAATGGTATTGACTCAACACTTGAATAATTGCTTTCTCAGATATAAACATAGTTTAGGTCAAACAATACAAAATGGTCATAATTTTTTTGTTCAGGTGAAAATTAACGAAAATGAATTCTTTGTTGCTTCATCGAAAGCACATGATTTTTTTTCTAGCTCTTAATTTGCTTTTATTTTCTTATGTTTAACTGAATTCAACTTGGAGACCCATGCATGTCTGAGGTTTCTCGCGTTGCAAATCACGTAGGAGCACTACATGCATGCGACCACGAAAGAAAAAAATATTGTTACAAATATCAAATTCGACGATTAAAAGCCAAGAAAAAGAATGATTTTCTAGGAAACAAAGATAACGACAAGAGAGACTGAAAATCACGTGAAAGCTCGTTTCATTTTCTTTTCAAAAACGGAAGGAATTGTGATGTATATACACCGTTGGGTGCTTCGATTTTTTTTCTATCCTGATGAACGTTTCAGTAAAACTGTTGATACCATGGTGAACGCGAAAACATGGCAATTTTAACATGTAGTGATGAGGTATTTTCTGGAATTAACATGGATAGTCACGTTGGGGCGTATACTGAAATGTGGACATAAACATACGTACGATGGACCGGCTAAAGGTTTTAAATCTGGTTCTTACCATTTTCCACCTCGAACACATTCAACAGTCAAAGACTGATATGAAGCTGTGAACTGGAACTTTGACGCCTTTTTCCCTACACGTTGCAAACGCTTCCAAACCGAACTCATCTTCCATGTACTCGGCAGATGTGCTTCGCTATCACCCACAATAAGCGCTTTCTACCTTCACCCACCATTGTTGATAACTAATGCAGCTTTGCTACCGCTTATTTTTAATTTTGAGTCGAATTATGTTCGTTTTCGTCGATGAAGGCTCGGTATTCACGAGAAGTTTCCGATCTAGAGTACCCAGAGTGCTTTTAGCTCATCGGGGTATTTTCGAATCACGGGATCCGCCATATTTCTCATCTTCATCTTCCGGATTTTGCTTTTGTATTTTCATTAATTGGCGAGGTAAGGATTCTTAAAAGGAGCAGTAGTTTGAACGGTTTGTGTATCCTCTGTTCTTTATTGAGCCCCAGTGACCTTCTTGTGGTGTAACTCAGAGCTGTTCTTTTCTCAAGGGGGTGGGTAACATCAAGCTTCTCCTTGCTCTTTATTGACCGCACATTTTCACGTGCTAGCTTTGACGAAATCCTCTGGTGTGTCTTCAGTTATTATTTCAGCAACAAATTGAATTCTTATCGCGATAAATCTGCTAATTATGTCCTATATTACATGTAGAAACTAGAGCCGTACATGAATCGTAGGTTGAAGAAAATTCTCGTAATATTTCCTTTTGAAGGTGCACTTCATCATATTTCCGTCTTTGGGGGTCATTCATAAAGAGTGCACTCTTTCCTCGAATGAAGCCTTTTGAAAATTCTTCTTTTGCATTTTAGCTTCCCGATCATGGCAGCAACGGGACCTTACAACTACTCCTACATATTCAAGTACATAATTATCGGTAAGCCTAGCCTTCTAACTTTAGAAGGAACCAATTTTCTTGTGTCTTTTTACCTGGTCGTTTATTTTGTAGTTAGTTTTCCACTCTGTAGTTGCTGATTTATTGTTCGGAAAATTAGTTTAAGAATTCTATAGGTGACTTCACTTTCGTGATGAAGATTAATTTTAAGGAGGAATGTTTCGACATGCATAAGTGGCCATATACACTTTGATCATTTGAAAGGTTGTTCATTTTATAGTTCAGTTAGTCTTTATCTGCCCTGTCAGCACTAATAACCTTTTCTTGATATACGAAATTTCAAAATTTAGCCACTTTTATAGCCAGTCCCTTCCCTCTTCTGCCTTTTTTTTTATCTACAGTATCTTTTATCTTACTATATTAATATTTAGTGAAAAATTTTCCCCAAAGTTCATGCTACAATGTGGTCTAGGTGTAGGTTGACAGTACTCCTAAACTTGATTCTCAAAATGCTATTCCTGATACTTGATCCTCAAGAGCAAATCTTCTACAACCTAGAATTTTTAAGCATATTAATATTTTCACAAATAATACTGTTGTGAATCTCAAATTTTAGGCTTATATAGTAGTTAAGTTATTTGCAATTCTGTATTTTGAGATAAAAGTTTCTGTTCAGTAGGATCCATGACACCTGTTATATATGAAAAGTTTGTATTAAACAAAAAGTAGTAAAATGAGATACAGGTGCATGTTGAGGGCTTATACTGAAATATAGTGGTTTTTTTTGTAGGAGATATGGGTGTAGGCAAATCCTGTCTACTTCATCAATTTACAGAAAAGAAATGTAATTATACATTTTTAGTTTCATTTTGAAAGTCTCTAATAATTTTTTTTGTGCACACTCTGAAAGCAATGACATTCATTCATATTTCATCAACCATATAACTTTAGCAGTACATGTACAGTTTTTGACCCTTTAACTCCCATGAGTGACCAAGACTGAATTTCTCCTTACTATTTCAAACCAACATCAAGCAGACAAGTGATGAGAATAAAGAAAAATATCAATTAGGGGATTATCAGTTAATCCAATACCAAATTCTCCAAAATAACAACAAAAGAATTATTTGGCAGACAGTAAGGAGAATTGCTAATGAGATCTTGGGAGTTAAAGGGTTATGGGTTGTAGTTTTAATGTTTAATCATTACTTGCTGAGCAGTTAGTCAAAATTTATTAACTTGCTAGAGGTAACAATATAGGAAATATATAACAGTCAATGTGAAGAATCAAATTTTAGATCATGGGAGTGAAAAGGCTAAATACAGTTGTATCCCATTTTTGTGACATTTTAAATTGGAGACAGTTTCTCATGGGTTCTGATAACAATGTACATGTACCTAAGCTGAACCTTAAATTATGCAAGTGTGTAGATGTAAGTTAACACAAGTATTGTTTGCTTCTGATAGTTATGGCAGATTGCCCACACACCATTGGTGTAGAGTTTGGAACAAGGATAATTGAAGTATCAGGCCAGAAGATCAAACTTCAAATTTGGGATACAGCTGGACAAGAGAGATTTAGGTGTGTTTTGCCTTTACCTTTAATACCCACGAGTGACTAAGACAGAATTTCACTATATGATGCCAATGTATCGTCATGCAGACAGGCGATGAGATTGAGGAAAAATGTCAGTCGGGATTTTTAACTGATCCAATACCAAATTCTCAGAGTTAATGTCATAAGAATTGCATGTTAGACAGTAAGGAGAATTAATGATGAAATCTGGGTGTTCAAGGGGTTAAACTTCATCTTCTCCTCATCTTCTCCTCATCAAAATACACACACTTTTCTTTCTTTTTAAGACGTAGCACTGATCCATCTTAAAAATGGCTTTCTTTGAGCCAAAGAATGTGTGCTTACCAGTAGCCATTACAACTTATGTTATTTAAATGGGCAATAATGAATTTTTCAGAGCTGTAACAAGAAGTTATTACCGAGGTGCAGCTGGTGCCCTCATGGTGTATGATATTACAAGGTAAGAATAGATTTCCTTGTGGAAAATGAGCATGTACATGGACACCTGTATATTTTTTTCTGTTGGAGTAATGTTTTGGTATGTCATATAATGTTTTCTGTAAATGTCAGACCATGATATGTGGTGAGTTGGTAAAGGCTGTTGTAGAGGGTTCCTGTAATTGTGAACTGATGGTGACTGGGCAAGGGAGCATAGGTCAAGTAAACACTGACCAGAAAACAAAGATGGGAAATTTGGTTCACATAAAACAGTCTTGGTTTGGTAATATTTGCAATGATAACAACCAGTTACCTCTGGTACTTAAAAAAGATTTATCATGGTAATTAAATAAATGTTTGTTGGTTTGTTCAACTTTCATAGGAGAAGTACTTACAATCATCTAAGTAGCTGGCTCACAGATGCAAGAAATTTAACAAACCCAAACACAGTAAGTTACTACAAGTAATAGCAGGGTTTCCAATAAGATGCACAGCAGTTTGTCACTCACACAGTGACATGAAAACTTGCTCTTTACTCTTCAACCAGGTTACATGCACTCAACTGATTTTGATCAGAGATTGGAAAGAGTGCTGGAATGAATTAAAAAGATAATAAAGGAACTGAAAGCTAAATAGGAAAACAGAAAATAGTATCATGTAGTAGCTCGATATAAATTTGTGATTTATAAGGGAACAGTGAACTTTCTAATTTTAGTTTATATAGGTTGTTGATGAAACCAGAAGTGAAAAACGTTCACAATGAAAACAGTAATTTCTAGTTGCTATGAATTGTATTAAATTTCTTTTTTGTAGTGCATGAAGTTGTTTCCTTTTTTACAGTTTTTTGTTAATTACCTTTAGGTGATATTTCTTATTGGGAACAAGTCAGACTTAGATGCTCAGGTCAGTACAGATATTTGATATCAAATCAATCAGGGGTTAGTCTATCTTTCTGTGTTTTGATACTGGCCATTTCTCCTTCTGTAAGAATTGACCTCATTGACATGTACAGCTGTTCATGTGCATTTGTGTGCATAGTATTGGTGAAACTTGCGGTCAGTTTGTCATTGTTTCTTGAATGTTCCTATCACAATAGAGAGATGTGACTTATGAAGAAGCCAAACAATTTGCTGAGGAGAATGGTGAGCCATTTTAACCCTGTTATTACCATTTTGCTTTCTAAATGCCTGCCATACAATTTATATGACTTGTGGTGTCAAATCAATTAGTGTTGGCTAGTTGATGTTTTTATTTTAACTAGACCTCTGCCTGATGATGTATAGATGTTATAAAGAGAAATTACTCATTAGTCACTCCTAGGAGTGTAAAATGAATCAACAGGTACAATAAACACTGCCTGGAGTAGTTTTGCTCATGTAAAATTCATCTCAATTGTAACCATATTATTTTTCTCTATCCTTGTAGGACTTCTGTATTGTGAAGCAAGTGCAAAAACGTAAGGGCCATAGTTATAAGTGTTATTTAAAAAGTACAAATGTGCACTACTATCCCATGTTTATGCCACTGACTCCTCCACAGTACTGACAACTTTGCATTCTTTGGTTATGAACAAGTTTTGGTTTTCATTCTTTAGGGGTGAAAATGTAGAGGATGCCTTCCTTGATACAGCAAAGAAAATTTACCAAAATATTCAGGATGGAAGGTATGTCTGAGGTTATTGTTACACCTGTTACAGTATTTCACTCTGTTATAGCGTTGATTATTATATGGACAGGAGAGTTTTGCCTGGAATTGAAACACTCATAGGTGCATATGGTACCTGTATATTATGTTCCCTTGTCTTTGAGCTGCACCGTGAGAACATTGACTCACCCAAACAAAATTCACATTGTATGGCTGCAGTGTAATTAAATTATCTAGGAGTACATGCTGATATGAAGGAATGTGGGGGAAAGTCCCCTTAATCAACTTTTTCTTTTGGAAGGAAGCTTTCCTTCTGCACTAATGTTATTTGAGGAAAAGTCAGTACATGTAATCATTACATTGTGTATTCAATTCGATAATCCTTGGTCTGCTTTTTACCACGTTATTTAGTTACACGTACATGTACATCAACTGAGTTAATAATGTAAATTGGCCATTGATGAGAGTCTCTACAGCTGATGTTTTGAGCATTAGCCCATTGTCAGAGCAAATGGAGAAGGACTAATGTTTGAAAGGACAGCTTTAAAAACTGTTTATGGTAACCAATTTACATCATCAACTCATTTGATAAAACCAAATTATCCTGTAATACCTCTCATTGTTGCAGCACCATAGTTTCTTTAGAAACTCACCCCCTCTATTCATCTGCTTTTACTAGTTTGGATCTTAATGCAGCAGAGTCAGGAGTGCAGCACAAACCACTGGCAGGCAGGCCAGCAAACTCACTGCACACAGATCAGCAGGCAAATCAGGATAAATGTGCCTGCTAACCTCCTAAATATTTTAATCAGAGAACAAGGTGAATGAATTTCCTCCATTGGATACAGACGCAAACACGACTTATTTTCAATAAATGGTACAAAACATTGGTTAAGTCTAACATGTACATGTAGATATCAGATGTGGTATAAATACTTATATTGTAGCAAAAGGGAAATGATGAGGAATGGTTGTCCTCATTGGCAATATCATCTTATCATTTCCATTAGCAAAGAAGATGCTGTAACACACTACTTTTGATGAAAGATATTCATGTTTTGTGTAAGGAAATCTACAATGGTTCAGTACTAGTTATGGCACAAGGGTGAAATTACAGCAGGGTGGAAAGATGATTTTTACTTAAATTCCCATTTAAAGAAACTGTTTGTCATACATGTACAGGTATTTAACTCTTTTACATTGACTCAGGATACCATGACAATAACAACACATGGTTCATGAAGCAAGTGTTGAAAATTTAAAATTAATCAACATGGGGTTAACAATATCCTAATTCTAATTCTAAGAAATTATATCCAAAGTAATGTATGGCAGATAGTAAAGACAGATTTTGAAAGTGAAAGAGTTAAATTAGCAAAGCCAACATATTTTTGCCTGTTGTTAAAAAATTGGGTTCCATAATACAAAAAGTTGTTCAGAAGTGCTGTAGACAACCAGACCAAACACAGCTAGCTGTTTCATTCTTCTTTTTAAAATTAATAGTTTTCTGTGTACATTTATTTTCCTCTTGTTTCCCACAAGTTTATTTTGCTCCCAGTACACTGCCAATTCTGAATATTCAAACTGAATTGCTAAACCTATTGGTGTTCATCACAATGGAATTGTCACAAAGTGTTCCCTGCATGCATGACAACCATCAAGGAAATCGTATCAGCAGGACCAGTGTTGTAATGCTTTTCATGCTTTTGTACACAATGGGCTGCATTTGTCCCTCAAGATGATAGAATAATGTTTAACTTGTAAAATCTTGATAGCACAATACAAAGAAAATCAGCACTTACTTAGACATTTTCTCATACCTCTTGAAGGAAAGCTCAGGGCTACAGGGGAAAGTTGTAACATTTAGTTGCTGTCTCGTGCACTCTTGTTGCAGTTGTTTATGAGGGAAAAATTAAGTTGTGATATATGCATAGGTATGAAATTTTAATCCATCATTGAAGAACAATGCTATATTGTAATGCCTTTCTGACTAGAAAATGACTTTGCTAAATGTCTGTTGTAGGCAATTGTTTTCAAAGTTTACTTGCAGATGTTTCTTGGTGTGCTTGTAACTCCTTGAATGCGTTGCTCAATCCAGCTCTCCTCTTTCTTTTGATAAAATAAAGCTGTACAGTGTAGGATATGTGAATGTCACTTGTCATTATACTTGTAACTTTACCACAAAGACCAGATGCTATTGTAAGAAGTCTAAGCCTTTGCAAGTAAATGGGGATGGGTGTGAACAGGATGGGTGTCATGCAGTTTTCTTGCTTGGAACGTAGGTTTACATGTGGGCAATTCCACTAAGCAATATTCCTTTATTAACCACTTAACTGTCTACTTTTCGCAAGAGAGCCGTTTTAACCCATTCTTTTGTTTAAGGCAGCAGAGAGTTTATACAACTGTAGTTTGCATGATCAAAAAGGTTTGAAAAATGTCTTTTTGTTTGTTTTTTTTTTCACATTGCAACCAAACATGGTTATTACACTTTCAACAAAGAATGATTCAAATAAGACAAATCCAAACTTTCAACTCTCTAAACGTGGATTCTCTGATGGGATCAACCTCTTCATTACGGGATGGTTCTTTTTTTGTGAACTTGAAGCGAACAGTTTATTTTTGTGAACTCTCATTGAAACACAACAAGAGGATAGGAAATAAACGGGTCAAATTATATTAAAAGCTCAGTGACCCAGTGGAGTGCAACTTTATCGACGCTCTGATTCCCATGAAGGACCGCGGCAGAATTTCTCCTTAAAAAATCATTGCAATAACAATTCGGGAATTGTCATTTCATCCAATACCAAATTCTCCAAATGCACATCATAAGAATCGTATAGTAGACAGTAAGGAGAAGTACTAAAGAGATCTTGGGGGTTACAGAGTTCACTCAACAAGACAATATGCAATTTTAAATTCATAATCTTTACATATTCTTTCTGAATCTTAAAAATTCTATGTACAACTCAATCTGAGTCTTCAGACGTAACTTAATAACATAAGTACCAGTTTAATTTTTAATAAATAAAAAAACGAAAATTTACCTTGTATTCAAAAATATTTTTGGGTCTTGATACGGATATGTCCCGTTTCTCGGATTAACATATGTATTTGATTCTCTAAAGGTGGATTTTCAAAATAATGCAGCCTCTTGCTAAGGATTTTAAATGTGAAAAGGAAGTGAGGCATCATGTAACAATATTTTTCTACTCATTGACATCATATGACCTACAGAAGAAGCGCGAATTTGCAGCTGTTGTTTGTTTGTTGGGTTTTTCTTGTGAGCGTTTCGTTGGTGAGCAGTGACAACTGGAGATCACACGTTAGTAGAACGTGCATTGGCCCACCGCGCGCGCGACTTGCGACCCACGTTGACTTAAAAAGTGCAAAAATTTGTGCAAGCTGAACAATACAATTACATTTAAGCAAGCGATCAACCCTTTCTCTCTCTCGCCTCCGCAAAGATCCTCTTTAATAGTGTTAATGAAGGAGCAATGAGAACAAATCTTTTTTGGTGGAGGAAAGGGTCCCTTGGGCCATGCCCTGTCACTGTAACACACTACTCTGCTTCAGTTAGCTCGTCAAGTACCTGGTACGGGATTACATTGCCGGTTTCCTTGGCGTTTCTTCAAAGTTTTTCAGAGCAATTGTTTCACTTTTTTCAACCATTTTAGCATACGATGCGAAGGGGACATTTTTGTTAGTTGTCACTTCACACCAATCCCCTCTGCACACCCAGGAAGGGTACTGTTTCTGTGTTAGTTTCATTACTTAATAGATTTCAGGCCAGAAGGGAAGGGCTGATGGCGGGCAGACTTATTGGTAACTTGCTCACTTCATGTATTTTATGTTTGTCGATTAAGGACGTGCTTCCAGAAGTGCTGGGTGCCCTTCGTGTCTCCCAACCCTGATTTAAGAACCTCTTCCGTAAACAATGCTGTGGCACAGAGTAGGTTAAAAATATTAATGACGACCCGTTCTGATTGTTTCAGTGGCAAGGCACAATTTGGTGAAATAAAATAGATCTTTTATCTGACTTTACTTGCATTGTAGAGGGGTAATTCAGTTGCAAAGGACACTAGCGCATGAGAAAGCATTCCCGTGGTAAAGAAAAAGAAGAGCTACCCATTCCATTTTCCTCACGTAGAGTGGACAAGTCCCACGTCTCCACTAACCCTTTTCACCCTAAGGGTACCTTGCATCTGATTTCTCCGTACAAAATCAGCCCTGAATCAAACATAAAGATCACAACAATAAAATAAATGGTGATCAACCGAAGAAGCCCTTGATTGTTAAACAAATTCTCCTTGTCATCACCTTAGAAAACGACAAAAAAAAAAGATTGGAGAATATGCATACTGATGTTAGGGTGTAAAGGATTAATTTTCTCCTTCAGAACCCTCCCTTTGGTATTGCGGCCTGAAAAAAATTTGCAGGAAGCGAAAATTAGACATGTTCGTAGATTTAATTTCGCAGAAAACGTACTGCAGCGTTCGTCATTTGTCGCCAAGCTCCAAATCATCTGTTCCACCATAGCGAGGCTTTTTCGAGGCAGAGTTAGCTTGCGGTGTTCTTTTACCTCTTGCCCACTTGCATGCGAGACAGGGAGCCATTATAAATACTTCAAATATAAATGTTACAACATTGGTGTAAACTCCACCTTGAGGACAACATAAACGAACTGTGGAAAGAAAAGAATATTTAGTGAAAACAAGAGAAATGAAAATCACTTAGTGGAATTCAATAAGGTTGTGTGTTGGGGAGGGGGAGGGAAGTGATATATAATGAATCGAATGCAGCAGGTCTGAAATATACCTGTAGCACGCGTTGGCATATCTTTTAACTAAACCAGGGTCGGATCCAAGAATCAAGGGGTAATCCCCTTTTGACAAGGGGGTCTAAGCTTTGATTCAGAAAATACAGATTTTTTTACATTAAAGCCGAAATAGACATTACTGATTACGATATGTATCAAGATGAGGAAAATTTTATTACTTCAAGTTGAGTTGCAGTGTGCGATCCTGTTGTTGGAAGAATTTTTGGTTTCAGAAAAGTCGTAAGAACACCCACATATCTGAAGGGGGAGAGTGGGGGGCGGACCCGGGGCCCGGGGCCTCTGAAAACCCTCCCTCTGAAAACACTTTTTGTTTGGTCTTTCCACTGAAGTTATCGTTTTGATTGGAGCCCTGCCCAATTAAGAGATAGCGTAGACATCGTCGGGAGGCTGTCACCACAGGTTTCGCCCATTTTAACCCTTTGACGGCTAACTGTGACTTACATCTAATTTCTCCTCACAGAATTACTACTGAATCACACATTAAGGTCATGAGAATAAAGGACATGATCACCAATTGAAGAGGTCCTTAATCTGTAACAAAAATTGTCTTAGCAGTGTTATGGGAAATGAATAGAGAACAGTTTGGAGAATATGCATACTGATGTTAGGGTCAATAAGGACATCAATCCAACGTAGGAGCTCCTGACAGACGTCATGTCTCGACGACCACATCACTAAGAATACCGTTCATCCTCAGCCAAATTGTTCAATATCTATAAGTAAGTTTGTAAAAGAGTTGCAACAGTACTTACACGGCATGAGTAAAACAACAAGAACGAATCCAATAACTGATAAAACAGCAAATATTGGCATGAGTAAGGTGGTAAAAAGCCATCTCTGACATGCGCATGGCGAGTTCATATCGTCATCATCTTTGCTATCTTCTGTGTAATTACTTGTGGCTGTTTTTTCTTGCGATTGTCTCGGAGACGATTTACCATCTAACAGAGAATTAAACAAATATAAAACGCTTTTATGTGCATGCTCTTTCTTTAGAAACCAATCAGTATTTATCACCTCGTGGGTGGGGGTTGGGGTGATGGATGATGTTGAGGGATCACATGGCTTTCAGGGAAGACGGAGGGGGGATCAGTCGCCGCTAACAGAGTATAAAGAGGGGTTTTTCCAACTGCAAAAAGACCCCTTGAACTTGAATTGAGAAGTCACAGCAAGTTCTAAAAGAAAATCTTATTGTCTACCAAGATGTCGTCTACGAACAATATTCTTAAGACTTTCTTAAGGTCAATCGTCTTTAACGTAAAATTTGGGGAACTGATTCCAGGTTGTCGCTGGGGAAATGAACACGTTACTTTCCGTTTTCAAAGCGTGTTTGACATCATATTCATTAACAAAAGACTCTCGCATTCAGAGGTAGCAATTTTTTTTACGCTGTCACGCTAAGTGGTAAAGATCGATCGAATAAGAGATCCGTCGCGTAGGCGCCAAGACTGATTCGCAAAGCCAATTACCGCTTCATTTTACGAGAAGATGATGTTTGATTACACATTGATGGGGTTCGGCCGAGGCAAAAAAGTATCACGACGACGAGTTAATTTTAATCTCAGGAATTCATCGAGTAATAGCAGCGTTATCAGAGCCACGAAAAACAAAAAAACCTACGACAAATTGACACAGCTACTTACAGTTTAAACAGTCCATCGTGTTCAATAGGATCAAAATCAGTATTAGCAGGCAGTTACGTATTTCAGTAAAAAGACGAAAACTATTGTAACTCAACCGGCCACGGTATTTTCATGTGTAATCTGATTGAGCTTTTAGGAGACAAAGAAGACACCAGGAGGAACAGATGTTACCCCTCTACATTTTTTTAGGCCTTCCCGGTCACCTTGGATTGGTTTTTCGGTACGAAATTTTACAAAGGTGGCATCCTTTCTTTGTTTTTTAAAGGAATTAGCTGAAGATAACTTCTCGTTGCTTTTTGTCACTATCAGAGTCATCTGAAGATACCTGTACACATGTATACACATGGAAAAAAGTACTTTGATCAACGAAAACTTATTCCTAGGTCGAAGGCAATTCGTGAATATGTTAAAACCACGTGTTACTGTCAACACTTTTTTTTCACCTCTTCCCTCCCAAGAAAAGCACACGTAGCCTTTGATTTGGAAGGGCTAAACGACGCAGATGTACGCGAAAACTGCCAACAAGATGAAAGATCAAGCGTTGCTATGCGCAAAAACAACATAGCAAAAATAGAGGGAAGCAGTTATAACGTGGAATTCTCTATACAGCTGAGCCTAGCAGCCAGTTTTTTAATGTACGCGTGGTAATCGTTTATAAAATCATGTAAATTAAGGCTGCGCAAAACATTGTATGGAAAAAGGCTACGTTTCGCTTTACGTGTTTGTTCTTCCGTCCCCTCCCCCCTCGAGAGGCAGAGTGCCCATTATTGAAACTACAATAAGGTGGGAAAACTAGTTGGCACGCCTCCCTTCACTAGGTGGTCAACAACCCTCCATGCAACATAACAAACAGAAATCATGTAATTCATCTCTATTAAGTCAGTTGAAAGTCCCCCCCTTCCTCCTTCCCCACAAACAATTTTATCTGAAATCAGTGAGCATTTGTTGACACCAGGCTTCGTTGAAATTTGGGAAAAGGGAAGATTAAAAAAAAAAGTACTAGCTAGAGCGTGCCAAGACGTTTTCCATTCCCTGTTGTTCTCGCGATTTCGTATGTTCATCGTTGTGCATGCGACTCAAGTAAGTCAACCAATGAAAGTTTATGTGCGCGTTGATGCCGTTTCTTTTTTGGATGTTTTTTTTATGGAAGACACAAAAACGGGGTATAACCTGGATTTAGATGTGGCCTTGGAATGAGGTAAAAGCATCCAGTTTCCGCCGTCGATCACATTTGCCAAAATCGGCGTTAAATTGTTTCGCACAAAGATTGCTTAACAAACCATGTTCTCACTACTGTAAGCTATGCAAATCTCTTTCTTCGTCTTTTGATCCCATTTTGTCTCTTATCACTTTCAAAAGAATTGCTTAATTTATTTTGGTTAAATTTTAATTTCACCGGATAACCACGAAATGAATGAGGTATTTACCAAAATTATGTCATCGCCTTTCTAATTTACTACCTCAGAAATAATCCGTAACAACAACGATCCGTCGATGTCTAAAACCAACAAAACGCCTTCGTAAATGTTTTCTACCCGTCCAAGAGAGTTGCGTCGACCCTTCAAATAATCAAGACCAGGATATCCTTGACTTTTCCATTTGCTCTTCAAAATAATTCCCATTTCTCAACCTCTTGCCCAAACCAACCTTATGCGCTATAATATTTATAAACAATGATAGCGATATTCAGTTAATGAAGTTAAATCAGTCCGTAAGTTGATTTCTGTTTTCTTTTTTGCAGATTTAAGTTCCCTGGCTATTTTTATCTTTTCCTGAAAATTTCGCACGAAATGCTAATTTTCGTTTAACGCCCTAAGGGTAAACAAAATCGCGCTTTTTCGCACTTGTCTGACCACTCGTGTGCATTGTAGGAACATTTGCAAGTGTAAAGTCTCTTTGGCTTACACTTGATTACATTATTTCAAAAGTCGTTTAAAAGCAAAGAAACACGTGTTCTTCAGACAACGTATTGAATATTGTATTTTCAAAAACCAACAAATAACGGTGTTCTGGATTCTCTGCCGCACCGAGAGAAAAACTCTGTATCGATTTGGAAGATCAACTCAGGTAGGAAAAGAAAAAGGAGATCAAATTAATCTGGAACAAATTATTTATATTAAAAACAAAAATTACCATACTCGGTGAAAGAAGCGTCTTCATGCGGGAAGATTCAACAAATTAACTGCGATGGAGAAATTACTTGACTAGATATCAAAGGGCCAAGTTAGATGAAATCAACCATCTATCAATAAATTATTAATAAATATTTAGTAAAACATCAAAAAAAGTATCCTTAACCTTTTGTCTTCTGTGCTGACTTTGGTGTCGTCTGCGACAAAATTTTACCCTGTTCGGAAACCAGTAGAGCTTTCTTCTCCGGTCCGCTGTCGCTTTTTTCAGTACCAGACTCAACGTAGCTTCGTGTTTTTCCATATATCCTTTGAGTAGAATGCCCCGTGGACTGTGGCCTACGGGATAATTGGTTTTCCTCGTATTGACCAGTTTTCTCTTCTTCTGCTAGTTCCCCTATCTCCAGCATCGATTTATAAACCGGCATTTCAAGATTAATCTTTGCTTTTGGGGTCGGTGGTTGAACCAGTTCATACTCTTGGCGGAGTTTCTCGACCGCACTCTCGAGAAGTCTTCGTTGACCAACTGGTAAATTTAACTGTGAATAGTCATCTTTCTTCAAAGCCAGAACCGCGGGCAAGCAATCAATTTGATGCGTTTTTACCAAAATGTCAATTGTGCTTTGGTTGATAAATGAATCTTTTGCCCAAGCTTCAAACAATTCGGCACTCCCAAAAGTATCATGCCTTCGCAGTGGCGGCGGTTTACCACTCAAGGACTCGGACGAGGACGAATCTTCTTTCGCTTTAGCAAAGAAAAACATGCCGGTGTGGTTCAATTTTCGTCAAAGTAAACGAAAATCGAACGAGTCACTACAAAACCATTTGGGCGTCAAACACAATAGTTGATGGACTCTTTAACGAACAGATGGGAATGCCCATTAAATACGGCGAGCCACGTCAATGCATAATTTTCAATCAAGTTTTCATGTCCTTTTCCGGCCACATGTCGTTAAAAAATATTCGATAACAACATTTGTTGAAGGAAAGGCGGAGATAATTTGACGATTAACCGACATGCAAAAAGACTACTTACACTGGATAAAAAGTGTAAGGGAAAAACTTCCTATTTGTTCTTGTTAATAATGACAATGACCCTTTTGCCCATAGCTCAGAATCAATTAGAATTGCGATAAAAAAAAGGAAAGAGTGAACCACAAAAGATATATTTTTATCGAATTGCGCTGTACTATTTTTCCGTGTTTAAAAGCCTTGTATGTTATTGGGCAAAACCTACGTAAATATCAATTTGTTTCGTACATAGGAAGACATTCTAATTGGGTTTAGTTTGCGAGGGCTGACTAACACGTATATTCTCTTACGTTTACTTTGAATAGTAAACCGGAATCGATGAATTTCCTCTCCGTAAAAATAATAATAATCACAATAAAACACGTCCAAGCAAAAATGTTTGGAGTAATTTTAAACAACTTTCCTTACCCTTAGATATTTTCCTTTTAATGGTGGCGAAAATCGAAAGCAAATGAAAGAGGTAAATTCTTTATGGCATTTAGCCTTTGAGTCATCCACTTCCTCGTATAAATGACAGAATTTAAAATTGAAGCCTCGCAATACGCGGCCTATTTTCGTTTGGTTTATCAGTGGGCTTTTCACCCGTTTTTCTAAATTTTAAAACACAAACTGAGTTCCCAAGACAAAATAGTGGGCCCTGATTAGAATAGATACGAGGTAATTTTCTTACAATGAAACATAAAACAATGAAATTTTTAAGTAATCAGTTGATCAGGTTGTCAAAAGCATCCTATTGAAATCGAAATTTTCGTTCAGTGTCCAAAATTTTACTTATTCAGTGTTTCGAAAGAAAAACATTTTCCGGAGAAAAGAAAATTCACAAATGTGTTCATGCATAACGTAAAGTTGGTAAATAGCATATCGTAAACTGTTTGGTTTTAATTTGACCACACTGTACTAGAAGGAATCTATCGTTTCGTTTATTCCAGCATTATTCAATATTACAACTATGAATGACTCCGAACAGGCGTGTACATTTCGGCTGTGTAAGGCGAGAAGATGTCAAAACTGAACCAAACTTTCGCTGTACATTCAGTAAATGGCCATGCTATCGACAACTGAAATATAAATGGAGCCCATATTCGAAGAACTTAAAAAAATTACCTTCCGTTTGCGTAAAATAGTCTTTCCTGAGGATCTACATTAGAAGTTACCTTTTCTTCCAAAGCAAGGTTATTTTGATATAGCGGAATCGCTCGAAAGATGGCGAAATTTCGTATTGGCAACGATTTGCCCTTCTCCACGATGTCAAGGAAACTCTAACTCTTCGGAAACCCTCACAGCTGAGAAATTGTCAACTTAAATAACCAAATGTTTAAAATACATTAATTTGTTGTAAGATTATAACGTTATACTACTTAGAGTCGTGGAATACTCGAATAAATCCCTCTTTGGGAAACGATAAGTCAGTTTGCGAATAAATGTTGTTAAAACTCGGCCAAAACTGATCGACAACAGTTTGCCTCTTTGTTTCTCCTATCATGGGGGCGAGAAACTGAAACAAAAGATAAACTCAAAAGACTATTTTACATATAAAAAGAAGTTAAGACCAAGGTAACAATTCCTTTAGCAGCAAGGGACGCTTTCCAGACATCATCAGAGACATTAAATTGGACCCAAATTAACATCAACATAAAAAACGATGTTTATTGAAATATTACCCTGATATTTCAACATTACAGAGTCAAACTTGTTCGAAATGGACATTCAGGATAAAAAGGAAATTAATTGCTATTTGTCCAGTCCTTCTTAAAAGCAAACAGACGGAAAATTAAAATAACTATTCTTATTTATGAATTCGACAAAGGAAAATCCACCTGTTGATTCGTATGCTAATGACTGACCATTTCTTCACGTATTTACATATCCTCCTACTTCTTGTAAATAAACTCTAAAGCTTTTACTTCCATAATCACGTAAAGTGCTGTTCTTACAGCTTAAAACTTGTACTTAACCTAAAAAGAAATTTTCTGTTTCCGCTAAATTAAACTGAATTCTCAAGACTGTCGACGACTTACGAATTAAAAAGTATTCAAAAACATCATTGTGAATGGATTTCCTTCCTTACGATCAAGACAAGGATTTAAACGCCAGTGGATTGAAAGATGGGTTCACACCCCAGAGAGAAGTTTATTCGTAAAGGTGTAGGGTACAAGCCTCTCTTTTCATAGTCCACTACGATTATTACCGAGTTCGCAAAGCCAGGTTCATCAGTCGGTCAGACAGAAGTGACGTATTACATAGGAGACGCTAATCTACTGTTAAAAAGGTTGCACTGTTTGCTATTCGAGTACTTGAAAGCTGGTGAACTAAAGGTGCCTCAACTCTTCGAAACAGTTAAAACCGGCGTTTTTAATAGAATCCTTTCAGGATTGTTTTTAACGTTTTGTTCATCGAACCCACGTGCAACGACATTGAAGTATTGCCTATATTATTCGATGAAAAAAAAATTACATCGACTGATTAACAGCTCGCGATTTTTTTTCTTTACAAACTCAATATAAGGAATTAATTTCACTATTTTTACCCTTTTTCTCGGTGGTTTCTTAACCGGATTTTAAGTCCGTCTTTATTCTTGAAATAATGTTCTAATAAAAGTAAATATGAACGCAGATCACAGCGAAAAAACCCTCTTTCGTTCGTTTGGGAATGGGAAGAGGGGATTGCGTCCTTGTGGATTCTAAACTGCGTCTCTTAATCTAAAATAATCACTTTAACTTAGATTAAAAAAAAGACGCTCAACCACGAAATCAGCGATTTAATACAATACATAAAATTTCTACCTAAGGAGTGAAAAACGCGATCAGTTTAACGATGCTAATCGATGTTGTCAGCTTGTACCTGCATCCAGCGCGCCCGCCTCCACCTCTCCTTCGGATTGAGCTACGTCTGAGGTCTCCAAGACGGTTCTGTAGAAAGCAGAGCGATAAAAGCGAATTGTTTGCAACAGCAATCAGTGCCTACAGCAGGAAAGTATTATTGGTACACAGGGCATTCTCTAAAACTGAAGAAGCGATGAGTCCAGTTTTGAGTACCTTGAAACGCTTAGAAATTCGATTTAATTTTAGAAGCGTGCATGGTACAGTTTATGAGAACAACAGAAATATGGTACTTACAGAGTGTGATCCTCTCCAGATGGTAGTTCAAGAGCAGTCACGTGGACCACGCATTTAGGATCCAAGGGAGGTGGGCATTCCTGATGTGAATATGGGAACGAAGAAAATCAATAATGTCAGTCATCTGTTGGTAAAATGTCATGGATACATTTGAGTGACACCTAAGTGTAATGCTCTAATCTGCGGAGCTTCGCACGAGCGGAGATACCATATTTAAGAAAATATGGAAGCTCTTCTCGACGAACAAAATTTTGATAGCGCGTAAAGACCAATGTCCATGCAGAACTCAAATAAATTTTGAAATTTGGAACATTAAACGTAGTGGACTTAGGCTGAAGTAATCTGGATTTATTGCGTGGTACAGGCGAAGCGAAATAAGACCTCCAATCTTTTTACATTTTAAGAATGTGCTGACTTCGAATAAAGCTTCCGGTATCTCAAATCTCAAAAAGGGCGATGTCCTCTAAATGTTATTTTACATGTTAATACAGTTTTTTTAAACTTTGTTTTGGTAAATTTAAGGAGGAGCAAAGGTCACAGCACGAAAGATTTTGAGAGTCACCCGAACACGGCAGAACTTCAGTGATCAGACGTGAAAAGACAACAACTGAAAATAAAATCCAGAGTTCTGCATTTGGGCTCAGCTAAAGCTATACATTACATTTTCCCTTGCATGACAAAACTTCTGCGATCGTAAGAAAATAATTTAAGCGGGAACGGAAAGGGAGGCTGCTGGTCCAGTCCACGGATGTATTAATTCTGTTTAAGTTAACTATAGACATTCTCTCGAGCAGAATTCTGTTTTTCGAGACGTCCTTATTAGGATTGGTGATTCCAGTTGATTTCAAAGCGACATGATGACAGACAGTTTGAACATTTCTTCTGTCGATGGAAACGCCTTCAGAACAGAAGAAAAACAGTGAATCTTGAGCGAGAATTCTCAAAGAGAACGTCTGAAGAAACGTTTTCACTAAGTCTAAAACTGACTTATGGAACCGACATGTCCTTGCCGAAGCACTGATTGTCCCTCTCTGTCCCCTCGCGTTCTCTTTTACAAACAGATTGCTTAGATAGACATAGTATGGAGGCTAAACAAAATACATACTACACTCTACAAGTCTCTCATACCTCAGGCAATTTCTGGTGATATATCAAGTTATTTTCTCTATCACTCTTTGCTTTCTTTTCATTTAACACCTTTTTTACCCTAGAAGCAAAGACAAATTTGATTATCGGCCTTTCCGCACTGGCGGCAAAACTAAATTGTCCCGACCATTGAAAGGACGAATTTTTGTCACGACAAATCTTTGTTTTCTCTGTTGCAGCCGCATTAAAAATTTCAAAGTTGTAAAATTCAGTCAGCGCCTGGTCTACTCAGAAGACCGGCCTGCACAGTTTACCAAAGGATTCCAACTCCAATTTCCACGATTCATCTTTAGTCATTGTAAAGTTTTAGAATCCCCGAGTTTCCTAGTAAACTGATTTTAGTTCAATTACTCGCTGGTCGTAAATTTTCCTACAAATGATCGACAATTTTAGCATGGATTTGTTTATTAACCCGGGAGGAAATTTGTCGGCGGTACGTTTATAGATTTGTCCGCTTCGGCCAAAATTTGTCAAGTCGCGACAAACCATCTGCATTTGTAGAATGTTGGTGATGACCGAAAATTTGCCCTAATGAACAACTTTTTCACCAGTGCAGAAAGGCCCGAAGACATCAGTGTATAGTATGACATGACTTTTTTTCGTTTATTAATTGCAAGGACATTGAAAAAAGATGTATTCATTTTTGATAAAAGCACATGAAGATGTAACCCCATTCTTCATGTATGCAGAAACAAACAAAGAAGAAAAAAATTATTTGATGTACTTTACTTTTCAAATTGTGCAGATTCAGCCAAGTGAAGTTTGGTCTTTGGTTTAATTTTATCATATTCCTACAAGGGAACAAGAAAAAAAAATCATACATCAAATTCTAAAACGAGGAACTTATCCCATCACCATGGATATCGATAAATCAAAGGTAAAGGGTACAACCAAAATTATAAAGAACTTAACTGGTAAATAGTCATTATTTTCAACTCCTGAAAAGTGTAAGGATTATGGCAGGCTTGTAACTTTCATTCATTCTTTGAATTCTTTAACTATTTATTTTGTAGTCTGTTGTATTATGATAGTAACAGTTGTCAATGCGGTCAGTCTATGAGGAGTATCTGGTCTACACTGCTTCACCTTGATTATACAGCACGGAGCAACTATCGCTTCGAATGTTGCCCCGAATGGGATGCTTTTATACTGCTGTAAACTTAAATTATTCTGAGCCAGTTTCCAGGTGATAAAGGATTTGCTTCACATTAACCACTCCGGTATAGTTATTTTCTTTTCAGAATGTAAATGGAAGGCACTTAAACAAAGATGTATGATATGATAAAAAAACAATCCATATAGGTAGGTGGTGTACTTACTTTAGAAAGATGAGTGGCTTGACTTAAGTGTTTGAATCCCTCACCTAACACCACAATAGAGTCGCCACACCTGAAAGTCAATTTAAAGGAGTCAAAACACTGTCATGTAAAACAACCAAGACACAGCGTTAAGGACAGCAGTAAAAATAAGACCAAGAAAGATGGATAAAAAAGACCTTATATGTTTGGCATGAGCCTTGAATGCTGTAGACTTTGAGTAATCCACAAGGTTTCCAACCTAAGACCTTTGGATTTTGGTGTCATGATGCTCTGACACACACCTGGGCCTGTTATATGGCTTTGATAATTACACTGTATCTGTACAGTAGTGCATCCTGCAATCTGAATCTCTGAGTTTTGAAACCCATTGGGAAATTAAATTCTTCTCTGTATTGAATGCATGACAAATAAATAACAATTCTCTCTTTTGGAGGAATTTTGGCACTTTGTAATACACTTTCCTAAGTGAGCTACAGTGCAGATGATTACATACAGTTTATAAATAGAAATCACTTACTTTTCTTCAGTCTCCAACAGATGAACACCCTGGTAACATCTTGCCAATGCCATGTATGTCTCACCTGTTAGAATGATGTTAGAGTGATGGTGTTCGTCAATATGTCAGTTTAAAAGAAGTATCAAAAGAATTGAGAAACAGCAGCATAAATATTGTTGTTAGAGCACTGCCTCACTCCTTACAAACAACACACTCATAAAAACGTACATTATAAGACAAAAAAAGGAATTCCCCACAAATAAGGAGGGAAAACTGATGGCCTCTTTACCCAACTCTGATCCATCCTTGTAATACAATACTGAAGTTAAGTAATCATTCTACCAAACCAAATTATTATGAAAATTGATGCTTAGATAAAATTTAAATGCAGAAAATACATGGGAAATAGTCATGGTTCAGTACCTTGAAACCTTAAGTATGTCGACCATTTTTGTCCCTCATGATGTGAAGCCTAATGAAAAATGTAGTAAGAGTAGAAGCCATGAGCAAATGTTTTTATTTCTTACATCTAATTCTTTCAATATACAGTGCAGTAGTACTTCAATCTCTAAATCAGTATTGCAGAAATGAAGAGCAGATAATTGACTCATCCTAGCTAATCTTTGTCCTCGTTGCAGATGTCTTAAAAATAGTTTAACCATCTCAAACTTCATAACAGTGAGAAATCAGTGCAAGAATCGTAAGACTGCAGGGAAAACTTTAGAACCAAAATAAATGGTTTAGAATTGCTGGTTTGTAAAGCTAGGTTTCCTTTAAACACATAAATGTGGTTAGAATAAACTTGGTCCAAGTAGCATTACTCAATGTACAGTATACAGGTCAAACAAAGTTCAGAAGATCCTATTTATAAATATACTCTTGGGTGGACAGAATCAATGCTGTTTGCCACAAAGATAGCTGAGGATAACTCAGCCACAATATCAAGTCAGTGCTACTAAGGATCCAGGTTCAAAATCAAACCACTCAGTCAGGGTTTCAAGTTAAGGTAAAATCATAGTAAACTAATATGTAACCAGATAATCATTATTCAACAGGTTCCATTCTTTAGTTGGTCAGAACATCTAGGGACAGGAGATGACAATCTAGCATTTTGATTTAACTGTGAACTCTACATGATGTTACCAGTTACCTTGAGTAAATATGTATGCCTTAGTAAATAGTCTTTGCTATCAACTGAATTACTGAGTGAAAGAAAATTGGGAACTCACATCAACTTCTCCAGCTGCAGCAGTATACTTCTGTGATACATCATGACAGAGTTCACTGATGAGGGAAGCCTTGTGGTCTTTACTGACAGCTCTTCTGATGGTGACAGTCTTTTTAAAAAATCAATAAGGAAAGTTTATAGTTTTTCTTCAAATAATCATTCAATAATTACATCATTATTGGATATGAAAAGGCTTAGAGAGATGTTACTTGATGACCACATAAACATACTTTCATCTGATGTACCACTAAATCAGATAATTTTCTATAAGGAGAAAACCACTGCCTCTGCTATAATTTTCACAGGATCAGTCTTAAAAAGTCAGCTTTTTAAAAGCATTGTCATTATAACTACCAGTAAACCAGTGCGATCTCCTTGCAAACCAATAACCCTTTAAATCCCATGAGTGACCATGACATAATTTCTCCTTGCAATATCAATACAATATCAAGCTGAGACAAGTGATAGGAAGTAAGGAGAATTACTAATGAGATCTTGGGAGTTAATGGGTTAATGCTAAAAGTTAGCCTCCTCTTGTTTCATTGGGCCTAAATTTTCCTGTTGGCTATAGGGTGTTTAATGTCATCATTCCACAAATGAATCTATCTTTACAACAAGTTTTTAACATAGCCTTGACCAAAATTTAAACAATTGTGAATAACTCTAATCATTTAAAAATATTTTCCAACATGCAATGTGTTTTTTGGACTACAGGGTAGCTTTACCTGTCCCTCAGCAAGTGACTGAAGATATAATGCACTCAGTATTGGAACTGTAGAGCAAAATCAAAAATTAATAGTTATACCAATGACTAAATTTATCCTGGTAATGTCAGTGTTGTACTTGGTGTTAAAGAGTTCATAATGGCAAAAAAGTGGTTAAAAACTGACCAGTAAGATCTTTGCTTCCTTGGATCAGACTTGCCCAGGATTTTGCAGTCTCAAATATACTTGCTGCTGTCTTTAGGGAATTCAGGCTTTGCTGAGATGAAGTATAGGATGTAATATGAGTGCAATATTAGCCAATGTACATGAAAGTTTCACATGAGAAAATGCACAAGCTTTTTTCTTACTTTCATTTTCTCTTCATCTTCATCTTCATTTGTAATGCTCCCATTGACCTGCATAAGGTAAAGGATGGAAAAAAATAAAGTTAGTTTACTTGAATACCAAATTTCAATCTCCTCAGCATCAAGAAGTTTTCACAAAAGTATTACTTACAAGATGAGCATGCTCTATGTGCCATATTCCAGCTGCTAACATCATGGATGCCATATCTTCATCTACATTACTGGATACAGTTTTTTCATCATCATCCATAATGTTAGACCACTTAAATCTATATGGGCATGAATCATAAACAATTATTGGATGATGTTCTTGTGATATCCAGGATAATAAAGGTCAAGATAGGGGTTATCAGCTGAAGCCAAAGGCTGCTGCTTTCGAAAATGTATTGTACATTTTCAGTCAATCAAAAAAGAGATAGTGAGTTGAATTTATAATAATTAAAATTATTTAGCACTTTGGGAAATGAAGTGGCTTAATTAACACATTGACTATAACTCCTAAGAATTTGGTATTAGATAAAGAGAAACTTGTACCTGCTAATTGAGAATTCTACTAGCCTGTCTGCTGGATAACTTATGGAGATTATAGGGAGAAGTTACATGTTAGTCAGTTCTGGGAGTAAAAGGGTTGAGGGTGAGCTTACTTCATTTTTGGTCAGTTGTTTTGTAACTTAACCATAGCTTGCTCCAGTCATAGTCTCTGTGAGGGTATGAAAAGGGAAGTCACAGCACCACTTTCAAAGTTGGAGCATACAGAGCTGCTCTAACATTAGTGGAGAGTCCTTCTGAACTAATGATCAGTCCTTGTTTCCCAATTCCTAATCCTCAATTCTCAAAAACTTTGAGGATTGAGGCTAATGGATATTATAGAGAAAGAGAGAGACTATGAACACTCAAAAAGATTCCATTCCAGTGCAACTGTTCATATAATTATGTATATTCATTTGTTTTACTCTATCTCATTTTCATTCTAATTTAGTTCACACTTTCCTTTCTTTATTTAACATCACTGATCTTAAAATAATTTTATATTTGATAATGGTGACATTTGTTGCCGAAACATTATGTTTTAATCTAGCTACTTTTTACTATGAAATTTTTTTCTTAATCTTCATTATCAGATGATATAGGTTTGCATCATATATTGTCATGTTTCCTTTTCAAGACCATTCAAAAAATTGTGGGCTTTCCAGAAATTTTCAAGATGGAAAAAAAAAAAAAAATTTCACTTAATTATTTCATCACACAACTGAAGCTTCTTCCATCCTGTATGTTTCATTGGGTAGAAAGTGTTTACATGCTTTCTACTAACCTGAGTCGAGAGAAACTTTTGACCTACAATGGAAAAAGGAAAATTCATGCACATCAGATTTTAGCTTCCAAATGATAATTTGGGAGGTGAAGCATCTTAAAATATGAGTATGACAAAGAATAAAAATAAATTAATAAAGAAAAGAATATATATAGATATATATAATTTTTTAATGGCTTGGATGACACCATAATTGTGGGATCATTCAGGGTAGCTTAGTGCTTACACCTCCTTCGTAGCAAGGCCCAGAAGGCTGAAACAGTACTGTCTACAGGTAGTTATGTATAATTTATATGTTTATATATATATATATATATATATATATATATATATAAAAAAACATTAAACAAATATGCTCACTTTCTGTAGTATGCTTTTTAATGTGGTGTTCATAACAACATATTCCCTCAGAGTGTTCACAACTGTTTCACTCGATCCATCAGCTTGTTTTAAAGCTTCTTCGATTCCTTGGCGTCTGTAAATGAGATGGAGGAATTACTGGAAAACAACTGCAAAATCTCTTACGGTTCGACTAAAGACGACAACACTAAAAAATTATGGCGACTTACTTTCTTGTGGAATCATGAACGAATGGTGCCAAATTGTCCGGTACTCCTTCGAGTGCTATTCCAAAATTAATACGATCTGTAAGCTTTTTTCCACACGCAGGATGTGCCATATTCTTGACATAGACACTTCCAAATAAAACAGGTTTAAAAACCGCAAATAGTCATGTGTTGGACGTTCAAAACAAGGCAAAACAGTGTTGTTGTGATATTTGAAGTATGCGATGCGAGTTGGACTGAACGCTGGTCAAGACGACTGTAGTAGCAGGTGCAGCGTCACGCTCAAGTTTGGACCCTTTTTACGGCATATGAACACCGACTAGGTTTACCCAATAGCCAATAACTTCGCATTTTACTCAAAAAGCATATAACGTAGAGCCAGTGGAGCTAAATGGACGTCTAACTTAGAACTATGAAGCTCACACCGAAAGATAGCGTGACTGTTACTAGATAGCGTGACAGACGTTGTAACTGTTACTTTGTATCATGCTATAACTGGGTAGCATGTCGATCTGTCTCGCTTTCAGACGGGTCTCAGTTTCTTCATTAAGACAAGTAAGAAAAACTCACTTGTCCTTGATGGCCAGCATGTCGACTTCGATGAAGGCAGTTGTGATACATGAGTACGGTAATTCTAGTAAACTTAGCTACGAAGATGTGCCAATTCCAGAACCAGGACCTGATGAGGTTCGTGACTCGATGCCATTGTTTACTTTAGCCAAAATTGTTGGCAGATGCACTCGTAGGAACCGTTTAAAATTCCTGCTATTTCTTAGAGATGCTTTAAAAGTCCTTTTTTCTTTTTTTTCGAGTAGACAGGGACTTTTAAGGCCCCAAGTAATAGAGTGGTGTTTGTTAGAACTGAGGAACGATGATTTCGCTTGTGTACGTATTTGTATTGTCGGTAAAATTCCCGCTCAGTCCTATACTGAATTATACATTCAGTTCTTGGATAGAGTAAACAATGACAAAACAATAAATTACAATTGGGAAAACAGATTTGTTTTACAATATTATGGGGCTGTGCGGAAATTTTACCGTATTGTCTTTGCTTCTACCTCATAACCTGCACAGAAAGAAGTAACACGGGAATGGTACGTGAAATTGTGTTCTGGTCAAGTCAACGTTTGCAAGGGAGTGTTAAACAGGCCTAAAATGTTTAAGAAGAAGCATTTCAATCTTAAAAGTGACGTTAAACACCTCTGCTATAATCAACTCGTATGGGTGATTAAATTAGCCAGATATGGTACATCCTTGATTAATGGGAGGGTTTGCATCCCTACAGTCTGTTGAGCAACGATACTATTGATCGGTAGACATATCTAAGTGTTAAACACTTGTGAACTTTGTAACAGATAGGAAGCACTGATCCATAAATCTATGTGCTTTATCATGGATTTTATCATTTCACATATGTGTTACTATCCTGCCCTAGTAAACCCTGAAAGGAGTTTTACAATAATGATATTGATTGTTTCACTTCAGAGGATTGCGATGGAAAAATTCACCCAACCTCTTTTGCTTCAACAGGTCCTAGTTAAGAATCATTTTGCTGGTTTAAACTTCATTGATACTTATGTCAGACAAGGAATCATGAAACTAGTACAACCTGGAGGAATCTTGGGATTTGAAGGAGCAGGGACAGTAGAGAAACTGGGTTCTGGTGTTCAGGGCCTCTCTGTAGGAGACAGGGTTGCATTTGGATTTATTGGCTCAAGTAAGTAATTATAAGGGCCACTCATAAACACTTTTCACATCTAACATTTCAATTGATCTTAGCCTGCCCTCCAACCTTCCAGCCTCATAGTTATTGTTCAGGAATATAATTGCCAGTTTTCTCTCTGAAAGTGATAAGTAGTATGGCTAATTCCTTCTTACAGATCTCTTTTATCTTGATCTCTATTATAAGAGAGGGAGGGGTGTTGGGGGCATATGTACAAAGTTGACTTGTTACCTCCTAAAAAAATCCTTTTCACCATTGTTTACACCAACTGTTGTGTGACGTAACCTCTTATTATTAGCATACTCAAGTCACCTTTGTTTAGACTGATATTCACCATAACTATCTTTCTTGTTTTAAGATGCCTATTCACAGTACAGCAAAGTTGGAGCCAAATATGCTGTTAAAGTGCCTGATCAGCTTACCATGGAGCAAGCTGCCAGTACCTTATGGCAGGGGTTCACTGCACATGCGTTTGCATGTTCTTCTTATCCAATCAAAGCTGGAGACAAAGTTTTGGTTCATGCAGCTGCTGGTGGAGTTGGAAGCTTGATTACTCAGATCGCAAAGAATACAGGTACAGGCTGTCTTAGGTCAGATTGTTCCAAGTTTGTTTTGGGCAACAAACATTTTTGTCAAAATTAAAGTAAATATGATAAATGGGAAAAGCAATCAAATAACTTCTTCTTCATCTTTTGTCTTCTACTTTCCCCATTAAACTTTTTGAGCCGATTTATAGGAGCTTTTGTGATTGGAACAACCAGCACTGAGGCCAAAGCATCAAAAGCGAGGGAGGCTGGTGCTGATGAGGTCATTCTTTACTCACAGAAAGATTTTGTTGAAGAAGTCAACAGGATCACTGATGGAAAAGGGGTGAATGTTATTTATGATGGCGTTGGAAAAACAACATTCCTCAAGAGTAAGTAATTATATGAGGGAACTGTATACCATATAAAATTAGGTCAAATCCCACTTATCCAGCTTATTCTCAGCTCCATTTGAATTGAGGTGCAAGCATGGCAAGCAGTACATTGATATGTTTGTGACTCAGTGTTAGATCAAGCACTTTTCGATTGAGTGCCATAAAATGAAAACCAAAGTTATCAAAACAGCCAATCAGAACATGGGAAAAATACTACAAGGAGCTAATGAGAACTCAAAATAAAAACCAGCTAACTACCTAAAGTGCAGGAAAACATGGGAGACCAAGACGTGATTGGTTTTAGTTTTGAGTCTGGTTGGTTGAGATAGTGGTGTGAGTTTCTGGACCAGTGGCAGAACAAGGTAAACCAAAAGTGGAGCAATCCTGAATATTTTTCGATGATCACTTGATAATTGCTCTACCTCTATTGAACATTGCTTTGGTCCATGGAAATGTAAAAGAAGGGGTCTGATATCCAACCATCATTATGGAACAAGCATGGTTAATAAAAAGAATATGAAATTGAAAATTATGCAAAATAATGGGAATGTGAATTCACGAAACATGTCTTGGTTTCCCAAGGAAAAGTAGATGGGCCCTACTCCAAAAGAGGATCAACATTTACAGTTCATAATATGAGAAAAATCACCATTGTAACAGATGCATCACTTGAATAGAGAGTAAAAATAATTTTAGTCAATTCTACTCCTTTTATTAGTGAAATGAGTTTAAAATGCCAGAAAGTAGTCACTGTGTATTTTTTCTGGACTTAAACAACACAAAGCTTAATGAAACTTTGCTAGTTTAAGGTGAAGGTTGGTTGGTTTGATAGTAATTGATCATCACTCAGTCATTATTTATCACTTGGGGAGGGGGGTTGGAGGACTTTGGTTGTGTCACAGTAGAGTGTACCTGACCCCTCCCCCTGTCTAAGGCTGTGTAATATTCTTATGATCTTCCCCTCACTTAGAGTTAATTGGCAATTAATTTTCTACAGTCTCTCCTTTATACTCTGTCAGCGACAACTGATCCCCGCTCTGTTCCCCCTGAAAACCATGTGTTCTCCTTGAAATCCTTCCCCCCCCCCCCCACACCCACCAAGGAAATTAATACTGACTGGTCCTTCAGCCGGTTTGATTCTCGGGCAAAATTTAAGAGAATGACTTGTGACTTAAAATGTATGTGGCCTTCCTTTTTAAACCCAGATTTCGGTTGTCTGGCACGTCGAGGAACCGTTGTTTTATTCGGTGGAGCGTCAGGTCGCCCTGAGCCTCTCGATACCGGCGTGCTTGCCAAAGGTTCCTTTTACGTCACATATGGTGTCAATTTCCACTTTGTGGAGGATCCAGCTGAATACAGCCAAAGAGCCACAGAGCTTTTCACTTGGTTGACTGAAGGAAAACTCAAATTTAGCGGCGGAATCACAGTGGTTCCCTTGTCTGATGTGAAAAAGGCCCACGACATGTTAGAAGGAAGGCAGACAACAGGGAAAGTTCTCCTGCAGCCGTGATAGATTGTGAAAAGTTGGAGACTGTAAATTACTCGTAGATTATTTTCCTATGTGAAATACGTAGTTGTACGTAGTTTAAACTGACTGCAAAACGCAGTCAGCTGTTATTTTCAGAATCTGATATCTTCTTTTGCATTCAGGCTCGTTACTGGGCCATACCGATCAAGTACGAATGCTCATGCGTGCTTTCAGAAATCCAAAAATGTTGCATACTGTTGAGCGGCGAAAAGCTAAGCATCTCAAAAAAGATTACACAGGTCGAGAAACCTTGAAGACTTCGGAAGTTGTAAGATACCACAAAGAAAAAATATTAAATAGATAAACCGTATCAGCCACTTTTCATCCCTACCTGAGTGATATTTAACGCAGCAGGAGTACAAGAGTCTGGATGAGGGGGTACAAATGTCATTTGTCAATTAAAATTTCCGCCGTTTATCAGCTGTCAGTTAGATTTTCAGCGATTTGTCAGTTAAAATTTTGGCCATTTGTCAGTTGTCAATTAACCATATTCAGACCCTCGTACAACTGGGGGGGGGGGGGAGTGGAAAAGTCGACAGCAATTGGGGAGGGAGCTAGGGGAACCCTAAGTTGTCATCATCGTCATATATTCATCGTGTTTCTCGCTTTTTTTTTTCGTTTAAAGCATGCTATGACTCAAAACTTTTCCCAGGACCTTTTCAACGAACAGGGCTCTTGGGAACAGGGTTGGCTCTCTCACCTTTTTTCGAAAGTTACCATGGAGTGATTTAAAGACAACTTGTTTAAACATGTTTAAATAAACATTAAGATCGTATCAAGATCGCGGTTGAGAGTTGTGTACGACATCCCTATCAGTATCTAATATGAAAGTGTTTTAATTAAATACACAATGCCTCGAACGGACATTTAGTCTGCGTTGTGACGGCAGTTTTTCCTACCAGCGGGGATTTTTTCAAAGAGCCTGACTCTTAAGTGAGGATCGAAAAAAAGAAAAAAAGAGCAATGCAGAGACGATGAACGTTTTCTTTTATTGCTTTCAGCGGGTATTTTGAGGTAAGTATCCCTTGCGAAGATTGAACCATAGATATTTATTTTTTTAATTTTTTACGGAATTTTTTAGCCTTCTTCATCGAAAGGGTGACTAACCTAAACTGTTAACATCGTAAGCTAGTTGCAGCAATTTTGTTTTTCAATCCCTTATAAGCTGATTTAATCAAGAGTGTTTCAAATATGTTTCCTTTCTCAAAAAACTCTTTAAATCACGCATACCTCAAGTGTTTCTCCCGTGGTGAGATTGTGTTCTAATCTTATGTATCAAACAAATTGAAGAACTAGTGTATAGATTTATTGAATTACGTGAAAAAAAAACTGAAACAGCTATTCGTAATTATTAAATAGTGACAGGTTTGTGAGGTCTTGAGATGAATACGTTTCAAATTATTTTCTTTCTTTAAATTTGTTTGTAATTGAATTTGCACTGAAACTAAACCCTTGCCGTTCGTGATATTGAAAGTGTATCTAAAGTATTATGATAACTCCAGTGATTACAGATAGTGCTTATATATAGATGACAAGCACAATCACAATACCCGTTCCTGTAGCATGCTTAAAAACGATGAATTTATTATTTTAGGACAAAATTAACTCTATAGGTTTATTCTACACTTATAGTCACTAAACTTATCGGTTTTTAGCAAAATATAACTTTCTTGTCATGTTTAACTGGATTTGTAATTATCCATGATCCTTTGTAGGCGTGGACTTTCATACAAATTATCCATTAGAGTTCACTGGTAACAAATAAAAAGTAAAAATGAAACATTTTTATCTTAAAACAGATATGCTGTACTACATTGAGGCGAGTATCTTCTCATTGAGATCAACTGGCACCATAAACACTGATTTTCTATCCCTCTAAACCTTTTGACCCCTGAGAGTGACCAGCATCTAATTTCTCCTTACAGTATCAAGGTCTGCAAATAATATTTTTGACCCCTGGGCAGACGCCTAAATGCAGAGGACTCAATGCCTCCCTTCAGAGCCCAATGTGCCAATTACTGAATTAGTAAAAGAGTAGGTAGTGGCAGGAACAACAGTAATAAAAGCAGTAGCAGCAGCAGTACCGTTAATAATATCACAGTAATGTGGACATCAAAACGATTGGTTAATCAGGCCGTTAAGCGAAAGACTCAAACCACCCGTTTCACATATTCTCTGGTTTGCTGAAAGGTTTGTAGTCTGAAATGGGACTCACGTATCTGTTATAACCAATTACATAACAGGCTTACTTTGTGCAGATCGAAAAGATATCGTCGGCACTGTCTACTCTTCTTCTTGTGTAACCCAAACTGAGTTTGGGTCTGATTAATCTGTGTAAATAGTTGGCATGTTTTTGGCTAACATGGTTTGATCCACGCAGAAACCGTTAGATTTGTGTTGCAGATTGCGATAGCTAGTGTCTCGGCGTACGTGTTTACCCTTCTGTTTAGATAAAGAACCCGTAAACCATCCTGAGACCATTCGAACCTCACAGTGCCCCTTTAACAAAAATTATTTAAATTATATTAAGAGACCAGTAATTGGGTTATTGTGAAAGTAAAACCAATAGTTGTCCTTTAAATTTAATATGTAGATGTTGATGCCGTGTAAGTCCTATCAAAAACTTTTCCAGATCCAAGTTGACATTTTTTTTGTCATGTTTGCTATCTAACTTTTTTTTCTAATTGAAGCGTTCCAAAATGAGACGCGAGTATTTTCCTTTAAATATACCATTGTTTTGTTCCTTCACTGGACTTCTTTTTATAAGAGCTTAAAAATTACTCCACATTGTTTAACTTGAACAATCCCTGATTACCAATAATTTTTTAAGGTTGCCAAGCATCGCTGGATCACGATAGGATTACGTAAAATATGTTTGAAATACATACTAGTTTAGGGTCACAAACGATAGACTTTATTTAGTAAAAGAAGGTTTTTTAAAAGTGAAAACTAACTGTCCCTAATTCCCATTGTTGTCATTAAGATGGGTTAAAGCTGTAATGTATCTCGAAAGACCACAAAGCAGAAATACAGCAGAAATCAAAACTTTGTAAGAGTAGCTTTTTACGTTTATTAAGGCGAAAGTGGTTGTTTTGGACTGTGCGGAGTAATTTTTTTCCTGAACTCTAATCTAGGATATTTGCAGTTTCCAAGAAGCAGCGTGGGAATTTCCTTTTTAAAGAGGTGTAATACTGAAGTGCAGACTTTATTAGTTAGAAGCGGTGAATTAATTTTGAAGTAACTGCCGTGACTCCAATTTTGTGAAACCTGAATTCAATAATGGACACGCAAACATGTAGATGCGAAAACTTTGTTCTTTTATTTTGAGGAGCACGCCTGCAGATCTGGCTCCGGTTGTTCGAAAATTGGATAACGCTATCCACTGTATAAATCTCTATCTGGCGGATAGCGCAATACGTTTCGTTAACTCTTATCCGCTGGATAGCGATTTATCCGATGGATAACGTTATCAGCCCTTTGAACAACCGGGCCCTGAATTATAAATGATGTTGCTGAACGCACAAATTACCCACATACAGTTCTTACATTAAGGGATTCATTTTGAAACTGTGGGGGGCCAAATGATCTAGTGTATCATCATCAATGCAGTGGTTGTTTGAACTAATTAAAAAGGAACATGGACATAGAGGAAGCTATGAATACAAATATACTTATATATTGGGAATCTGCAACCGATCGAAAAACCTTTTCCAGCACATGTATATTTAGTCCTGAAACACCATGCTGTGGACACAGACGTGAAAAACTTTCATCGTCGACTGAGTAACAAAACTGCTTCTGCGGAAAAGGAACTCCGCACAGATAATGTAGAATGAAAAAACAAAGCAGAAATGTAGCCGTACCGTCAAAAGTTGATAATTTAACAATAAAGTACTAAAGTTGGAACATAAACAAATTCTGTCGCATTTGAAATAAGTTGTAGAAAGAAGAATTATGCCGTAAATGTGACGTAAAATACGAGGCTTAATCCCCAAGGGAAGGTTGCAAAAGTCTGTTTCAGGTCACATGCAGATGTCATGTTGTTTAAGCATATAACATACACTTACTAATAACTTAGAACTCCTACGGCCTAAATTTCAGATCATAAGTTCACGTCGGTTTGCCAGAAAGTGTCTCCATTTTTCTTCGTCAAGAAGTCCACTTATTTCAAGGGATGACTGACATATCCTTGGTCGGGATATGCAGAAGTGGTCACTCAAGAAAGACTCGTGCTTGAAGGGTCAGAACAGGCTCGTGTATTTCCAACATGTGATTAAAATGTTTCCATCATGTGATCTCCAAAGAAGAGATTAATTTTTTTTCAGGTCCATGAACAATTTATATTTCCTAAGCTTTGGCTTAGGTAAACTTGCTGAGTGGGTGGCTTTCGAAGAATTCCTCTACAAAATTTTTCCCATTTTTTTCTCTATCTATAATTACAAAATCACTCATGTATGCTTGTATTGTGTTACCAGTGTCCTCCCTGAAGCCAATGTCGTGCAGTAAACGCCCTGAATTCTTGAAAGAAAGGACTGGATTTTTATGGACAATGTCCTCGAAAGTCTTTCCATTTATGAACAATAGAAGTTTACGGAGGGATTTTCTCCAAGACATTCCTACGTGAGTCCACTTGTTCAATGGAATATCATGCAAGCTGACAGAAAAAATAAGCGTTAATGTAGGTCGTGCTGTTACGATAGCTAAAATTTCTGGATCAATATCAGTGCCTGGGCAACTGTCCAACTACCCCTCCCTTAACCCAACATTCACCCTAGCTTGTTATCAATTGACTGTTGTTGGGTTAGGGAAGGGGTAGGTGGGCAATTTTTCTTAGAATACACTATGGCTCTTGGCTTTACACAACACCATATTAACATCCAGAAAAGTTTATTTAAGTGCCAAGTGGATCACTGATCTCACCTGACACGACGTCCCCTCAAATTGCCTCACACCAGTAGATCTTCCTGCTTCTGTTCAGGAAGCGGGTGGCTGGTAATTTTGCTAGTTTCTCAGATTGCGTGGGACGCCTAAGACAGTCCAATTTAATATCCCCAAAAATTTGGAAATTTGGACTCCTTTGAATTCATTTCTACCTTCAAATGAAAACGTCTCTTCTATATTATGTTAAGGACTTACTTTCCACATATAGAGAAAACATTTCCTGTAGCAGGAGCTTGTCTTTTTGCCTCTGTACACAATCTACCATCTTCATTAACTGAGAGGGCAAATGATGCATTCGACGACCAGTCACCGTAGATAGGTTGAAAACTATTTGGATACTTAAGCAGTTTAATCCACACGGATATGCCGAAACCTGTGGTAAGGATGGGAATGGCTGGCATTACAGCATAGGTCAGCGGACTGCCATCCAAGTACAGTGCTGTAATATTATCCTCTGAAACAGCGATGCTGGCTGCTCCACTTAAACTGTCAGAAAACAAACGAATTATTTACCTTGTGTTCACACATTTTTTTAATCATTTTAGTAACCATGGCGACACCAATATCCTCACACTTGAAAGATAAAAATAGTATCTTCACTGCGCGCGATATGATTTTTTAGTAAAAGGAAAAATCCTGGTATTTCATCAGTATCTATATAATAATATTACTTAATTAATGTTAGAATAGCGATTGGAGAGCGTGAAATGAAAATAATTCAAATCTCTTTGTTACCGGAGAGGTTCTTCAGTCCCATTGAGCCTTAAACGGAAAGGAAAACCTGCAAAAGAATCAAAAACTTGTGCCATGCAGGCACAGAAAAATATGTCAAATATAGAATGAAATGAAAAGAGTATGTTCTAAGTCATTTTTGTACCTTGGCATAATTTTCCATCTCCAATATATCCCACTTGACATGAACAGATGAATGAGCCATCAGTATTGATACAATCTGCATCAGCGGAGCAGTCATGTGTATTAGCTGCACACTCGTCCACATCTGAAACTACAATAGGTACAAAGATGGTAAATATCGTTCTTGATTCATCAACCGAGCCCATAATTTGCCATCTTATTTTATTTCCTCGTGACTACCATAGCTTTTGACTCGGTGACCGAACCCAAAATTTGACACCTTATACCACGCAGGCACAGAAAAATATGACAAATGTAGAACGAAATGAAAAGAGTATGTTCTAAGTCATTTTTGTACCTTGGCATAATTTACCATCTCCAGTATATCCCACTTGACATGAACAGATGAATGAACCATCAGTATTGATACAATCCGCATCAGCGGCACAGTCATGTGTATTAGCTGCACATTCGTCCACGTCTGAAACTACAATAGGTACAAAGATGGTAAATATCGTTCTTGATTCATCAACCGAGCCCATAATTTGCCATCTTATTTTATTTCCTCGTGACTACCATAGCTTTTGACTCGGTGATCGAGCCCAAAATTTGACACCCTATACTACTGATTTCCTCACCGTACGCTCTCGACACTCATGCGCACTTAAAACTATGATAAATTTTTATTTTTGATGATATTAATGAAATTTAGTCGAAGATTAACCAGTGCGGTGTGAGAATGCAATCATGTGATTAGTTTTTGGAATAAATTTGCAGAGATTTAAAAACAACCTTCAGTGCATGTCTTTTCTGAATCTTCTAGCTCAGGACACAAACATGTAAAACCATTGTTGTGTACTAAGAAACAAGATTGCTTCTCTGGACAAGGAATTCCACACAGGTTCTGTCGAAAGGAAAAACACGGAAGGTTTACGACAAATTTTTACCGATCACTACATTTATAGCTAATTTTCAATCTGAAGCTGATACAACTTTTAAAAGACAGTTTTCGTTGAATACACACAATAGCCATGTGTCATCTGCTCCACCAGCAAAAACATCCCATCTTCCTGATATTTAAGTTATTTGACAAATTTCTGTACAACTTTGAATGCCAATTTATTTTCGGAATGTCTATTCGTTTCAACACTTCCATCGTCAAATATCATCGCCGTGTTCCTTCACTCAACAATATTCCAAATGAGTACGTTGTTCCAATAGCTTTTACTAGATTTCCGTTTTTCTGGTATATGGAATCAATGTGTTTACCGAATTTCTTCTCTCTAATAATCAAATTAGTGTGTTAAGTAACAATGTATATGTTTCCCACCTCTGATGGACGGTAGGTAAATCCAGACTTCGACACAAGGTAATCCGGATGCAAGACATGATGGGAACTGCTCAGTTCACAGACTCGTTTTCCTTCTCCTCCACTGTCCGGCGGACCAAGGTTGTAGGATTTGCAGGTTTCCTCAACAAAACACCTCAACTGACACAACTGTTCGTCCTTTACGGTCAAGTTTTTGATGATACTTTTGTTTAACACTTTGTCTGAAAAACTTGCAGCCTCGAAGAATAGTACTCGACAATGCTCTGGTTGAGGTAATATAGCTAGAATTAAGTAATAGACTTAATTGTACTTTCGGCATCATCGACCGTGTTCAACCGAGCAGCTAGAAAGACGCCGTCCAATTTTTTTTTTTTGTATAGGTAATCACATGATTTCGAGTGCAATTTGAAATAAATAAGCACGAGTAATTTTTTTTAAAGACTAACAAAATTGTGGTCTTTGAAAAAATTAACAAGTACTTGTTTATTCCAAATTGCACGAGAAAAATCATGTGATTACGTGTTAATAATGTACATGGAAAAATTCGAGATGCGTATCATAATTAAACATAAGCAAAGCGCGCGCATCAAGTGCAAATTAACAATTGGTTCATGCTTTCGCGTGCACTATTGAGTTATGGAACACGTGGGAGGTTTGGAGAGCACGAAAGAAGCGTAAGAGCTGCCCGAGGCAATAGCCGAAGGCAACTCTAGCTTCTTGAGTTTTCTAACTCATTGTTTTGTAACATAACCGGTGGAATTGTGCATCAAATCCGACGCAAAAAACGGACAACAATATCAGAAGTGATTGTTCGTGGAGTCTCCTTTTTCGTTGTTTTTCTCTTTTTCTCCCTCATTTAAAAACTCTAGTCCAAGGGAAAAGGTCGGAAAATTGTCTTTGTTTTAGGACTGGTGGGCCGAGTCTCTGTTTGTATCCATTACTGTCGCGAAATATATTATTTTTCCCCGCGCTAACAATGGCCGCTCGCGCGAAAAAAAAATTTCTGGTGAAGCGATTTGCTCACGCTATCAGCGTGCACCATCAGGATTTTGAGCACGCTTGCGTATACTGAATTTGATTGCGCGGCTCTGCTTGCTATGTTATAATTAACAGTTAGTTCATACGTCAGCGTGCGTTCATCGAGATATGAAGCACGCGTGAAGTTTGGAGAGCACGAAAGATGCGTAAGAGTTGCTCGAGGCGTAGCCGAGAGCAACTCTAGCTCCTTGAGTGCTCTCCAAACTTCCCAAGTGCTTCATATCTCGATGAACGCACAGCTGATGTATGAACCAATTGTTTTATAACATTTTCAACCCGAAGGAAAATTTTTTTTTTCGCGAGGGATTTGTTTGTTGACGTCATGGGCGTGCACAATAGGAATATGAAGCACGCTCGCGCAATTGAATTTGATTAGGCAAATTTACTAGCTATGTTATAAAATAATTTATTCAAACCGTGCGTTCGGTTAAAAACAACTGCGTACGGTCAAAACAATAATATGCAATGATATCTTCACATCTTTAAGGCGCAAAAAAGTTCAAAGTCCGGCTAAACAGTTCAAGGAATTGTTCAGTCTGTGTCCGAATCACTTCCGATGAAATGGAATCGTCGTTTCCGAGGTTTAACCATGTTTGTTTTTAATTTCGGCTATGGATCGCTCGAGCAAAGTGTTAAGCTGGGTCAGCTCGTAATTTTCGATTTCCTTGGCAATTACCTTCTCTACACACCACTTTTTCCAAACCGACAACCAAAGAGCAGTGCTTTTTACAGTGTTTTTGTTGTTTGAGCTGTTTTTCAGCTGCGGTGGCGAAAGAAAACCTACTTAAAACGCCAGCCATTGTTTCGCTCGCAAATTTTCCAATTTTCAAATTTTGTTGTGACATCCAAGGCTCGCATTTGATTGGCTATCTGTGAGTTTAGGGGTAAGTTTCTAAAGAAACTGTGGTGCTGCGTCGGTGGGAGAGTATAACAGGTAATTTAGTGTTAACAACTGGGTTGAAAACGTAAATTAGCCACCGTAAAGGGTAAGTAAGCTGACGTTTCGAGCGTTAGCCCTTCGTCAGAGCGATTGACGAAGGGCTAACGTTCGAAACGTTAGCTTTTTTATCCTTTACGGTGGCTAATTTACGTTTTCAACCCAGTTGTTAACACTAAATTACCTGCTATCTGTGAGTTTCTTTGATTATTGACCAATCAGAATGTCTGATTTGTTACTTTCTTTGCACTGAATTAACCCTCTTCTGCACTGAGTTACCTGAAGACTGCATTTATCTGAACCAATCAGACCTGAGTCATTTTTCCATGTATATTATTATAATTTAAATTATCTCAGTTACATAAATTCTACCTAATTGACAAAAGTAAATAATCAGAAAAAAACATAAGAAATGCAAAAGTACTTTAAATAAAAAAAAAGTGTGTTGTGATGCGGGAAAGAAGAAAAAGCCTTGGAGATGGCCACTACCACGATAAAATTATTGAGGATTATCGAGTAGAATATATTCACTTAACGTAACTTAGAAATGGTGTAATGTTGCAGAAACTAACCTATTTATTTCTGATACTTGTATTTGGTTACAAAGGAGAAACTGCTTTAACTCTTTTTTTAAAATTGATTAAAAGACATACAATCCGGCTTAACTGGAATCACTTCCCAAATTTCTTGAGGTGAGTATCTTAAATCTTGTAAAGGTATAATTTTGTTGTGGAAAGCAGGTTTTGCTTAGAAGCCTTACGTTTTTTGCTTGTTACAAGACAAAGAATAAACCTGATTGTACCCGAATGCGTCGATATGTTCAACGAAAAACGAAAAGCTGTCTTTGGCCTATGATCGAGAGAAAAAGTATATGCATGAATTGGGCGTGTTTTTTGCCTTTTTCATGGGTTTTTTTGAAATATGTTTTTAATTATAGTTAAAATAATTATTTGGAAACATTGGATATATAAACCGCAGTTACTAACCTTGAGTTGAAACTGGAATTAAAAGTATCCATGCCTTCCAAGCCCCAAAGAAAGCAGCTGCCAAAGCGAAAGAAGAGCGTGCTCGCATTCTAACAGGTATAATTTTAAACTCTTCTCTTGCACTTCAGTATCTCAAAGCAATATATTTCGTATTTCGTATTTCTCTGTTCCTGACACAAGAATTGTTCTTGTTCACTATACCTTTAAATCTCTACAATTAATATTTCATCACCTCGTGATCATGGAAACCTTGACAGCTTCTGTGATGAAAATATAAACAGAAAGTTAATCTAACGGATGCTACCTCAACCCTCTAACTCCCATTATTCAGCAGACAGGTAATGAGAATATTCAAACTTACAGGTAGAAGCTGCTATCTTGATCTAGCACCAAGTTCTCATAACTAATTTACGAGAATATTTGTAGCAGCTAGAAGGGAGAATTAACAATCAGATCTTGGGAGTTAAAGGGCTACGAGAAAAAGTCATGCTAATGACAAAGACTAGCGTAGCATGTATTACATCGGGCTCCTTCTGTTTGCATGTGCGACCTCTCTAAAGGCGACTCTCGAAAATAAATATTTTGTCTCTCTTAGAAAAGCATGCGGGGTCTCATTATAAACAACGCCAATATGGATAAATAATTAATCAGACCATGAATTCGTGTTTTCACATAAACAGTATCGTGTAATATTTTACACAGCAGGAATAAACTGTTTTTTAACTCTCTTCAAGTGACTTATGTCGTC